GTTCCTGGTGTATTATTTATTCTCATAAAAAATTAAATGACGTTTTAATGTATTATTTTATTGTAACTTTTTTGTTTTATAGTATCCACTTGACCAATCAAGTTTAAAAAAAAAAAATATGTTTATTATGGAACATAAGATACAGGTATCACTTATTCCACGTCATTAAATTATTAATCCCTACTCATCGGCAAAGAAGACAGGGTGTAGGCCGAGAGAAAAAGCCGGCGTAAAAAACTCTCGGTACTCTTTTAAAATAGCAAAAACACGTGGTAATATATATCTGACGCATAATCGTTTGAAATTATGTTCATGTACGCAGTTTCATTTACCCTAAAATTAAGTTGCAAGTATATAATATTATAATTAATGACAATAGTGTGTTGGTGGCAGGCTGTTGTTCAGGAGACCACACTCTCTCCCTCACTCCGCTGGCTCTACGACCCCTAAAAGGTCATAACTCCGAAATCAGAATATTCCGGTGCCAATTTCCGCAAATAGCTGCAGCAGGTCCTTCTCCGCTCTCTCCATACAGCAGTACCTAGGCTGACCTACTGGCCTCCAGCCACCAGGCTCAGATAAGGCTTCACCGCTCGATCTTGGCCCATAGTGCCCCAGTATAGCAACATAGACAAGAAATACAATTAAATGCTTCTAATTTTACATTTACTGCCAGATCTCAAATCAAGGGTGTAGAACGGAAGAGACGAGCTGGCAATAAACTCTCCGCCATTTTTTTATCGCCAAGTTTTTCTTCTAAACAATGTTTGTAAGAAGCTGCAACCATTACACCATGTTCCACATGTCTCAATGGGCCTTGTATTCCCCTATAATGTTGGGCAACAAAACATTACAGCGGTAAACAAAAAATATGCATGCGATATGAATTAGCCGTTTAAAAAAGTTAAACGGAATGTGCATGTTGTGAGGTACCTGTATATTATCGTACACTTATTACGCGCTTCGGATTGTCACGATTTCGGGGCTTCACGGATAATGAGACACCAATTCCTCATATAATCGGATTTAAAAAACAATCGCTTAGTAACAGAGCGTTTTTTTAATATAAGGAAATAAAACAACTCTCGAATTGTTAATTCATTCTTTAGAGACCTCGCCGAATTGAAATTTAATATTAATATAATTATATTATTATTGTTGTAAAATTATGTTTATGTCATTTTTTTTTATTATAGAACAGAGGGCAAACGAGCAGGAGGCTCAGCTGATGTTAAGTGATACCGCCGCCCATAGACACTCTCAATGCCAGAGTGCTCACAAGTGCGTTGCCGGCCTTTTAAGAATTGGTAAAATATGGTATATTTTATAGTAATTTTGAATGTATATAATAATATTTATGACCTTAAGTAAAAAAAATATTTAAGCGAGCTAGCTTTGCAAATATTACGAAGTGTTGTGTAATCGTTGTGAAATATGGGCAAAAGTTATATATAAATTTTATTTAACTTCGAATTGATATTGTATATATTTTTATGTATATTCCATTTTTTTTAATTCTTAGGGTAAATAAAGCCACACTTAGTAGCGCTTAGTATGTATAGTCCTATTGGAGCAGCTACAATATCGATCTTATGATTTGTAAAATGTTGCATCATCGAATGGATAGTAACATTAAACGCGGATAGTAATTAAAAGTAATATCGTGGGTTAAGCATGAATAAAACAAATCCCAGGTCAGGGTCGCTCGTATTATATGTCAATATGTTTTAAGTTATAAGGTTAAGGAGCAGCGACCAGGCAAAATCAAGTTACTGATAAAAAAAAATACATTACAACCTTTTTAGGCCTGGGCCTCAGATTTCTGTATCTGTTTGATGATCATTTGTTAATCTAATAGGCAAGTAGGTGATCAGCCTTCTGAGCCTGACGCACGCCGTCGACTTTTTGGGTCTAAGGCAAGCGAGTTTCCTCACGATGTTTTCCTTCACCGTTCGAGCGAATGTTAAATGCGCACATAGAAAGAAAGTCTTTTGGTGCATAGCCGGGGATCGAACCTACGACCTCAGGGATGAGAGCCGCACGCTGAAGCCAACACTGCTCTTAAGTTACTGATAATAGTAACAAAAGCCCTGATAATAGGTACGTAGTGAGCGTATCAATACAATGCCTGTTATAGTATATTGTCTCTGGGTTTATTCTAATTTTAAATAGACTCTTGGAAGTATAATATCAGTATATCATAAGTTTTAAGAATTTAAAGCAATTATGCTGAATGTTTCCGTTCCCCTACGGCCATTATTCATAAATCTTGACACTAAATCTTAATCACATAGTCTGCTTTTCTACGGCAGCAATGCTCTCCAAATTACTTAACATCATGACAATCATGTCAGACGTATTAGACTAAGACTTAGACGAAGTAACTTTAGAAATAAATAAGCAATACAAATTTTTATCAGCTTATAAAACTTATAGGGTTTAATTTTTTAATATACAATTTGGGAGACTTGATTTTAGCGTAGATATCAGTCCTAATATACTTAGAAATAGCTTTACTTAATACTCAATCCTGTTTCTCTGACGACGTTATTTGTTATCGTTTATAACTAGACTTTTTTGAATTCTTCCCTCGCTTACCCAGTGGAAATCAGCTGATACATGAATTGATAATACATATATAATATATGCAGCTCGATATTGGTAAGTTCAACAGGTGAAGGTTGTATAGATAGTACTATGGAATCAGTAATCACTAATACAATATAGAAGTCTGTAATCTAATAATACTAAAGGATCTTTCGACGTGACTAAAAATTATCTAAATTTAAATTAAATAATCTATCCTCGATAATACGCTGTAAAGCTGTTTTAAAATTATTGTTTTATAAATGTTTTAATTCTTACGTAAATATTCGACATACGAAATCACGAAACTACCGGCTATTATTTATTAATTATTTATGCTATTTACAATTAAAAAAGTTAAAGTTCTATTAATAGCTCGCAATATACAGAAATATTTATGAATACGAGACAAAAAATAAGTCAACAGTTTTGTAAAACAAAAATACTGCACGCATTATTCAGTTTATTTGTGGTATTGGTTTATCATCGCTTCCAGAGGATGATTTTCAAAGGAAACACGCTAGAAGCTAGCCTCGCCACCGGGGATTACAGGATTTTGCTTTTATCTATTTATGTAATAATAATAATAAAGCCCGTTTTATTTCCAATCATGACCAAAACAAATTATAATACACAGCTTAGATTATTTTACATTTTTATACATATTTTTTTTCTTTTGCTTGTTATTCTATATTCTAGCTTCCTTCAGTACCGTCGATCGGAACCCCTTCAAGGGTAAAGGCCTCCTCCATCTTTTTCCAACTGACTCTGTCTATGGCTCTCTTTCTCCATTCGTTTCCTGCTACCGCTTCTATTTCTTCTATCCACCTTTTTTTTGGGCGACCTCTTCTCCGTCTTCCTCTTGGTCCTTTCCATACAGTTGTCTTTAAGGTCCACCTATTATCGGTGTATCTTGCTATATGCCCCGCCCATTGCCACTTCTGTTTTAGGGCATAATGTAAGGCATCTATAACTTTTGTTCTTCGTCTTATTTTTTCGCTTTTAATTTTATGTATGTTTCTTATTATAAGTACGCTTCTTTCCATTGCTTTCTGGCATGCTACTAGTTTAGTTTTTATCTATTTATGTAATACCGTTAAATGCGACAGTAGCGATAAAGGGAAACAAAAAGGAAACTGCAGGGTCGATAATGATGAAATTTTGTGAAAATATAATTTATACAAACATAACCAAACGAAGAAATGTCGCCAATAAAGTAGTTCATTTTATTATTTATTAATTGGTTTATATACGGAAATGTTTTACGTTAATTTTAATCGAAGTTTGTTCATAAATAATAAGAACATAATAAAACTTTTATAAAAATATGAATAATGTGTTATTGTTTTTTTTTAAATAATTATTATATTTTGTAATTCGCATTCATAACACAGATCTAAATCTGAAGCATATTTTGTCTGTTCTTGCTAAAAGGTACTATTATAATAATTAGCCTTAATTAGATAACGTGAATTTAAATTATGAACGGAAAGTATATGTTACGATAAAAAAATATTATTAATTATTGATTGTTAAATATTATTTATTGGATACTTTTGCTGCAAAAAGCATACAAACTTTATTATTAATATTAAAGCTTTATTAATGAACTATATAATGTATTAAAGTTAAATTACTATCTTCCCCCGCGAACTTCGTTTCGCTGATATTATACTTTTACTTAGCCCTCTTGGTAGCTACATACCAACATATGGAACATTTTGCTATGCTACCCCATAGAGACTGTTTACTTTCCGAAATAACAACATAGGTACGAAATAAAACTAAATTTTATTTTTATGTTCTCCAATTTTTAATATAATAATAAGCTCTCAGAGTTTAAGGATTAAAAAAAACATCTCGTATTGGACCAGTGGTTAATATTAAGGAATGCAAACTAACCAATGGTTGTATGGATTAATAAAGCTTTAATAATAATAATAAAAAAAGTCATGAGGAACTGAAAATCTTCAAATCACAAACTCGTTTAAGGAACACAAGAAATTTTTAAGGAAATTACGTCAAGCCTAACCAGTTACAAAAAAGCTAGATAATCCACCTAATTCATAGTCAATTAGTGCAATTAATATATAATTCCATTAGTGTATCTATTATTTTTATAGCATGTTTATGGTAGTCACAATCGTGGTCGTGAAATACTGAATAATAAAATTTAACTTGACAATATTATTGTGTGTAGGGATGTGAATAGCTTCAGTGGGAAAATTTTAAATATATAAGGAGCATGAGGCTCCTTATATATTTAAAATGGCAGATACAAGTAGTACGCACCGCGCACCAGTCGTCTTCAAAGCCTGGAAAGTTATGTTTTAATTTAATAATGCACATGTAATAGTTTATTATTATACTATATATATTATTGTTATAATATCTGTGTCGTGAATTAAATAATAATGGATGAAGCCTTTGCGCATTTGGAAGGAAATAAACAAGGGGATGGAAAAAAGGCAACTGTAGCCCCAGACGGGGGTTGGGGCTATGTTGTGTGCATTGGTGTTGGATTTACTTTTGTGAGTATCATTTATTACAGTATTGTAACTCTATCGAGTTATATGGTCTTCATTACTTTATCAGTGTACGTAATATTATTATTACTTAAATTAATATTTTATTACAAATATCATGCATCTTAACACTTGATGTATAGTGTTTAGCCAACGATTTAATTCCCGCACAAATAAAATAGTAAAACAGTTTCTTGTGACCATTTCAAATTATAGGACTTTACATACACTTTAAATATTTAGGGGCTTATATCGCAAAATATTAAACATACCGAAACGCGACAAAATTAAAGGTAAACTGTTAAAAAAGTGAAATGCTTTTGAGCGGTGTTAATTAATATGTCAAAAAACAGTCTCACATTTAATTTTAATTTAATTGAATAAGGACCGAATATTTTTTTAAAACTAGATATGAAGAATGTAATAATTGAATTGAAGACTTTTGAAATTTGATTATCCGGATAAAAATCCGGAGAAGGTCAGAGTTCCAATTTTAAAGATTCGTAAATAATAAACTGTTCCATTCTCTAAATAAAGAAAGGTTTTATGGTATTATTCAAACCGTTTATGTTAAATATATTGCAAAAAATTAAAATACAATTTCAGATTTATTCATTACATAAATATTATATGTATGTATGAATAGCTTGGTCTGGAGAGCGTATTTACAGTCTTTTGTTTTATTGTCGTGCTATTGACTGCTGGTATCTTATCTTAAACTAGTGTGTGACTTTAGACATTGTATAGGAATTGTCGTAGAGAAAATGGACCGAAATTAGTACATAAATTGAATAAATGCGGTTCTAGGATGCAACACCCAGGTATACATTGCGGTTATTTGAATTGTTGTTTCTACATAATTGAAATTAACTTAAATAGCACACTCCGAAATAGCACAATATGGTTTTGTTTTTTTTTGTCAAAAATATAATTATGTAAAGATATGTATTGCTGTATTTTGTATAGAGAGTAAAACATTAAATATACGCTCATATTTTTTTAACAATGGTATCTCTGAGGAGAAATTTCATTTTCAAAATACATACATAATAGTAATTATTAATTAAAATACATAAACAAACTCCCTATATCTTTATACTTTAATAGCGGAGATAACATCTTTGTAGTAATTTTATTACTATTGTTTTCTATACAAATAAAATTAACAGTTAACATCCCCTGTTTAGTGTGTCATTGATATTAATGTTTATCTTTATAGGTGAAAATAAATTTAGAAAACGTAAAAGAATTTCATGTTTATTTCATATTCACGTGTTAGTGTGTTCTTTAAATTATTTTAAAGAACACACATATATATATATATATATTTTTTTTTAATGTTTTTTATCTAGGTTAATTGGTGTGGGTATAAATATTGTGTCGTTCTATCGAATTAGTAATTCCTGTAACGATAGAATAATGATATGAAATAAAATAAATAAATAAATGTTTTCATGTTGGAATGGTTAAGACGTCGATAAGAAATCGCCATTACGTAACTAAGTTTAAAGGTATTGGATTTGACACATAGGAGTCATACTTAGTAAGCCTCGACTCTATCTAAATCTATGGAAGATTGTATAATCTATGTGTTTGAGACACCAATGGCTGAACACGTAACTAGAGTCTGGCTAATGAAAGATGATACTGAAACAGCGCGGCAAATTAAAAAAATATCAGCATGGCAGCCCTAAAGTAAAAAGGAAAGTTGGAACAACTCACTTTGATACTTTGACATTCATTTTTATTTTGCTAGTGGGCCGCGTTGAGGAGTAGATTATTGGCTTGCCTTCTGCACGTTTCGATGCAATTGTACGCAAAAAGCGATGTCTCTATGCAGCTATATCATATCGTTCAAGTAATAATGAACTATCATTTTGTTTTTCTTAAATTCATAACCGTTGGCTAATAATCTCAAGACTATCTGTAAAAGAACAATAACATTATCTAATGTAACTAAAACTAATATGTACTTATTTAAAATAAAAAAATATCAAGACATTTTGACCGTACTAACTTTAGTGTTGTCATATAAAAAGTTTGCAAGAAAATCCAGTAATTTCTTTCGTTAGCCAGACTCTAGATACGTTGATAATTTCACATAGAAATTTGTCGGTAATGTCTTAGGAGGGTTAGTTCTATTTTTATGGGACAGGAGGCAAACGAATAGGCGAGTCACTTGAAGTTACTGTCGCCCATGGTCACAAGGAGGTTTGCAAGTGTGTTGCCGGCGCTGATGGTTGTGGAACGCTCTTCTCATGAAAGCCCCTAAATCTAAGGAATAGGTTGGTTCCATAAAGTGGTGGCAAGAAGTGTCTTTAAAAGTGCTTTGTCGTGGAACGCCAGATGCCAAGGAAAACGAGTGGAATTTTGCATTTCGTATAAAAGTATAATTATTAATTAATTCTGATGCAATTGGGTTCATAACTCACTTAACGTAAAAATAATAAAGGCTTTATACTCAATAAGCGTTATCTAGATGTCAATTAATATTTTGCACAGTTTTATCTTAATGTAGTTGAATTATTACAGCAAACTGTTTTATTAATAACGTCTAATTAATTTCCTATTAGGTAGTTATTCAAAATTCGCTATTATGGTTATTTGACGATTTGAGTATTGATCTTGCGCTTAGAATGTCTATCCACAGTAAACATATCAAGGCATATAATTTTTTAACAATGTATGGAATGCAATATATAAAACGTATGTCATAGGTCCACTATTAGTGCATTACCAAGTCTGCTAACAGATTTGTAAAAAAAAAAATTTTTTTAAATTATTTTTTCTAGCTAATTATATTGTCGCCGGAAGTAATAAATAACTTACGTATATGTACAACTTAAGTAAATAATAATAATTTTTATTAATCAGACAAATACAGTCTATTGATTGATTAGTAAGTTAGGAACAATCGTTTCTTAAGATCTATGTTAGTAGAATTAGTAAAAATAAGAAAAAAAGTAGTTAAATAAAAACTATCAGGTACAAAGCCCTGCGGAGATGTCGGAGCAGTGTCGTATATAGGGGCACTCCATCCTCTCGAGTATCATCCGTAAGATGTTGCTGGAGCTGCCCCGCACCCGGCGCACCAAAGAAGCGCACCGCTTTCGCATAGTGGCGAAAAAGCAATCCACCCGCGCCTCTGTAAACATTCCTGATGCACTGCAGAAGCGAGGCAACCCCCTAAATGCGTTGTTATACTGCACCCGAAGCGAGTTGTATGTAAATTTTTTTTTTTTTTAGATTGGACATTTCACACCAATTGACCTAGTCCCATGCTAAGCTGGTGAAGCTTGTGTTATGGGTACTAGGCAACGGATATACATACATATTATAGATAGATAGACATATAAATACATATTTAAACACCCAAGACCTAAGCACAACACCAAATGCTAATCACATCGATGTTTGTCTCAGCCGGGGATCGAACCCGGGACCCATGGATCCGCAGTCAGGGGTACTAACCACTAGACCAATGAGCCGTCAATTAAATGGTATTGGTAACCCGGAAGATAAAGCACTACTACATATTTCTCTTAACAACTTTTTGTATAACATTTACAGCAGATTCCAGATGCCTCTTAACCTATTTTTGAACATTTTTTTTAAAGTTCGTCTTAGTTTCTTTTATTCCCATAGCTTGTTCAGTGGTATACCAGTCTTATCCATACATTGGACAGTCGGTCCGGACATTAATTTAAATTCAAACAGTAAAAGTATTCAGCGTGGTAATTGCATATTATGTGATGATAAGTTGATAAACTTTTGACAGGTATACATCTCTTATCTAAAATATACTAAAACAATAAAATTATCAATTAACCTTTTATTGTTGGACATTTTCTATCCTCCCCATATATATGAAAGCGGAACTATACCAGCTAAAGTAGGCTGCTAAGTAAGTAGGTACGTGGTTGTCAATCGTAATATTGCTAAGCTAATCCTAGTGGCAAAATGTGGCACCACCTATTTAGTTGGCCTGGCAAAGCAAGTAATTCCTTCATAATTTTTCTAGGAAAGCAAATCCTTCTGGGCCTAGCACATGTAATCGATTTATCATACAGGTTTCCTCACAATCTTATCCTTTGCTCTTTTTCATTGAATTTGTAAATTATTGTACTTTTCTTGCTCTATTTTTGGAAGCCCTTACTTTAGTTGTCGGTTACATAGATATATCTTCTTAGATAAAAAAAATCGGTAAATTTTTCGGTAAAGGGCAAATCTAGAATTCGCATCCCTTTATGCGGGCACAAGGTGAAATGTTTAATTTGTGTGTTTATAATGTCCTAGTAAAATTAGTTTCTACTAACTAGAACAGTGAAGCAATGGACTTTTTTCACGCATTTAAGATTCGCTCGTACGGTGAAGGAAAACAGCAAATTTAAGTTCAAAACGAATGAATAAATGATTCATTTTGGTATAACAATGTACACTTATGAACGTCAATAAATAAATACATATTAAATGCTTCTAATTTTACATTTACTGCCAGTTCTCAAATCAAGGGCGTAGAACGGACGAGAAGAACTGGCAATAAACTCTCCGCCACTCTTTTTAATCGCCAAGTTTCTTGTTTTACATAATATTTATAAGGAGCTGCAACCATTACACCATGTTCCACATGACATCTTTAAGTAATTAATAATAAAAGCCGTGAGTCAGATTGTGGGGAAACGGCACTAGACCCAAAGAAACAACATATTTTCTAAAAATGACAACTAAACATTTGTGATACAGCAAGATCCTGTCAAGACCCCAGGTCATGACTCCCATGACGCCCATGAGCACTAATATAGCTAAATACAACGTTTACACACTTATTGTGCCATATTTTTAATAATTATAATTAATTAGAAATTCATTATTATTTATCATTTGTGTCAATAATTTATGTGTAGAAAGTTTGAAATTAATGTCGAATACTTCTGGAATAGCATTATCACAATAGATAAAAGCGATAATTTATTACTAATAAGTGAATGTTGGTTTATGACAATTAATTAACATCATTATAATTATATAATATTGTATGAAAGAATATTATATTTATCATAATATTGTATTTACAAGTAGACATAAATTACAATATATTCTAAGGCATATATTTATTAATGTACTGCGTTTACTGGTTTTTACGACTTTTACATTAAAATTTAAAAAATAATAAACTTACTCAAATCAAAACATTTATTACCACCTAAAATTACACTTATAAATAAAACAATTTGTAAATTTTTGTTACTTTTACAAGCGAATACAAACGCGTTTTATTGTGACTTTTTAAATTGAATGTTACTTTTAATATTGTTATTACTATAGTTCATAGTTACTAAACATAAAAGCCAGTTAAATATAAGAGATACTTAATACTTATATTAAATGAGCATATAAAATATACTTATCGTAATTAACTACTTTAAACTATTAAACCTTTTAAATTAACTAAGTGTTTAAGGAGAAGGTCAATTCGTTATTTATTTCAGTTATTTTTAGAACCATTCATTGTTGTACGCAAACCACTTAAATATACAATTACCAGATTATTTTTTTGCAAAATATTGCGCAATGGTTAAAACATGTTTTGTTTTGATTGCAAATGATAAATCTTTTAACTTAAGTAAAATGATAAGAAATATTTTAAGGCTTAATCAATTTGTTATATTTATTAGTAATCCTACAGCCAACGCATATTCATATTATAAAACAAAATACTTAGACAATATACAAAGGCAAAACAAATTACAATGATTAACAAAATAAATGAAACAGGAAATATAAGTACATTAATAGACAAAAAAAATGGAATGAAACCTTAAACAAACGTCAATGAATACTTAATATTTTAAAGAAAAAACTAAATTGTAACTGCTACAAAGTCAAGATCCTCCCGCTTCATAAAATATTTTCATAATATTTCCAAAATATCAACATTCTCAAAATTTGTGTCATAGTTAGCTAAATCCTGAAACATTATATGTCACTTTTATACATAATATTTACACATACGGGTGCGAGTCAAAAAAAAGGGAAGAATTAACATAAGAACTATTAAAAATGCGACAAAACGTCTTAAAGAGTCGAGTTCGCGCTACGGGTAGGTAAGGCTCAAAATCGAAACATAGCCGATACTACTCCCGTCTAGTTGGATTCAAGTTGGCTACTTAATCTTAAGTTAGTTTATTTCGGGGTATTGTTACTAGGGTTTACCTTGCACAGAATCGCATAATACAGATAGAAGAAAGTTTATTCTTTATGTCTGAATTCTGACAAGTATAAGTATAATATCTGCGTCCAAAATTTATGTATTTCTGAATTATCGCATGTTTTTTAATTTATTAACGAAACTCAGACTGTACCCTGCCGTTTCTCTCGCGTCAATTCACTTGTAGAATAATTTATAATGTTATGTTCCTTAAGTAATTGACTATCCTTGACTCCATCTCGATATTGCGCGTTAAAACGGAACAATTTTTTTTCTTATTGCAACATTTGTTGAATACTTGGTTTAGTAGTTGATGCTTACAAATTAAAAGTAAAATAAGTCCTCTTTAGAGTGTTAGTGCAGATTTTTTTGTATGAATATAAATTTGATTTCATAATTTAATTAAATTAATTAATTAAATTACGATTCCCAAGAACTTGTAAGCGAAGGGATAGTGTAACTAAATTTGAATTTCGCGTACCCTCTTGAACATCCCATTTGTCCCTCCTTTCAGAAGAACAGGTTTTGGCCAAAACACTTCCAATGTCCAGATTGAGCATTCTGATAAACGAGCTAGGTCTGGGATATCCATAGTTGCTTCCCTTACACATTGAAATCAATTTTCCTGATAGATAAACTGAAGATAAACTGAGCCGCACCGCGAATTGTAACTTTCTCAATATAAAATAGAAAGAAAGAAAAGAAAAGAATGCAAAAAAATTATACACAATATACTGGATATTTAGATAAAAAGTAAAGTGCACTGGCCCCCACACTAGGGTAGGATGATTGTGTTGTGGGCAACCAGTCTCTTCCTTTTGACATGTAAACAGTATTTTACTTAATGATTTCTCATAACACATTTATATTTAAACTATTTGTGCACAATAAGAATATTTTCAGTATCTGAATAGGACAGGTTAACAAGATATCGTTTGAGATATTTAGTAAATGTATGTAATGTGTTTTTTAAATGTTAGTGATAATTTTGTTTCTAAGGAAGTGGTTAAAGATTAAGCCTCGTAAGGAGAAAAAGCGTTGGGGAAGAAAGTGCGATTTTTGGTTGCTTATGTATAGGTTTGTGTTTTGTTTGATGTCGTGGCGGGTGTTTGTTTCCAAAAAAGTCTGCATATTGCTATTAAGTAAAATTGTCTCACAGTCAATAAATGTCAACTTCGAATTTATATATTTTTTTCTAATTTATATTATTGTGACGAATATAATCACGAACTATTATTATAATATTAACTCGTCGACCTACACCTATAAAAATAATCTTTATTGAATTCAATAAACGTTATCCTTGTATGCAATAGATAGCCTTGAATTTTTTTTGGTTTCAACGGATTTTATAGTTTTACGTACACTGTGTAATTAACGGCTATATTATTGTAAAGTATCCGAAGCTTTTTTGTATTCGTAAGTAGGTACACTTATTAATATTCTTGATAGGAATATTTTATTAAATTACAATAAACCAACCATTTTCCTACTGGCCTACTATTTTTGTGCGCTGTGTCATTTGTCATTTTCCATTTTTCGATATCTGGTAAACCGATGTGTAACGCTCATCCCTGAGGTCGTAGGGTCGATCCCCGGCTGTGCACCAATGGACTTTCTATGTGCGCATTGCATTCGCTGGAACGTTGAAGGAAAACATCGTGAGGAAACCGGCTTGTCTTAGACCCAAAATGTCGACGGTGTGTGTAAATATTAATTTGGCTAGATATTTTATATGAAATGCATTGGTTTACATATATATATGTAAAGCAATATATATATAATAAGATACGCTTCGTCTGCGTTTGACCACTTTTAAACATGGACCTATAAATTTTCCTTTCATTTTCAGATGCTTGGGTTCGGCTCTTCCAATGCCTTTGGCATTCTCTTCAATAGTTTTTTCATGGAACAAGACGGTGCTAGTGGTCTTCCTCTAGTCATAGGTGTATATAATGGTGCCTTATCAATTGCAGGTAATTAATTCGATTTTATATAACAACTAGCAGCCTCGGCCAAGCGTTGCTGTGGCTAAGGTTTTTGTTATATTACATAATAGTAAACTATTCAAGGGAAACGGTAGGAGAACCCCAGTCATGGCGACCACCATGCTTTTTGGAGGTTATGCCATTAAATTGTAGCTTATGTGAAACATTGGTACTTTCAACACAGCGCCATCTGTTAGAATTGTGACTGTCAAATAATAAACAAATAATTTGCAATAAAATAATATTACGAGTATAAATGAAGATGTAAGCTATCCTATCTTTTAAGTTAGTTCAAACTGCACACGGTGTGCAAATTTGATTGAAATCGGTTAAGTAGTTTAGGAGTCCACAACGTGACACGTAATTATATATTAAGATAACGTCACGCTAACTTATTTACAGTATAAAAGTTCAAAAGCACTTTGCACTTAGCAAGGAAAAAAGTTGCCAACATACGAAACCAGTATAGCGCAATTTAACATGTTGTCAATGGAGAATGATAGAAAATTAAGTGATATATCTTTTGCGTTTAATTTATTTAAGAATTTTGTTGATTGCCCCAACCTTTTAACTAAATTTAAATTTCGTGTACCCTCTATTTTGGATACCCGATCATCTCATATGTCCCTCCTTTCAGAAGAATGCGTTTTGGGTAAAACTCACCAATATCCAGATTGAGCATTCTGATAAACGCGTTAGGTCTGGTTAGTTGCTCCCCACACATTAAAAAATACTTTGGTTTTTATAATTTATGAATCGATGTATTTTTTTACTCTCTTTGTGTTTGTTATGTTTGCCTGCAAGTAAGTGCATGTCACAAATCTTGTACCTTATTTTTCTTAAGTACCAATGTATCAGTGTACCGAGCGTTGGCAAGCTTTTATAAATAAATAAATGTTTTAGAAGCACTCGATTTTTTTGGATATTTTGGAGGCGGTCGTCAATATTGTTCACATGAAAGTAATTAAAAAGTTAATTAAAGCGCTTTTATTTGATCGTGAATCTATTAAAGTTGGGTCATATTACATTGGGTTGACCCTAATCTATATTTAAGGTTAACTAATATCTTAATCTACGGAATTAAAAGAGAGCTATGTCATTGTCAATTTCATTTTGCATCTGTCATTGATTGATTTGGCCGAGATATTAGATTAAAATCGAAAAGGGATGACCTAATTTCGGCACATGTTTGATATAGTTGGACAATTAAATTGACGATGCAAATCCAAGAAATATTAACTGGCACATCTCGTGACGTCTCACGTTCTGAAATCCAGTCCCCAAGTTTCTTTATACGTAATATTCGTTCGAAGTATATTGATTAAAATACTTTTTATGTAATACATTATACCTCGGTTTAAATTTAAATTTGTTCTAATAGTTTAATTATTTAATCTGAAATAAACCATAGTGGGTATTTGATATGCCAAGTCGTTTAGCAAATTTTGGAATCTAAGTTAGATTTAAAGACATAACAGACAATAGTCACTTACATGAGAACTTTTATACTAAAGATATAATTTATCACGTCGTGGTCATTGAAGCTACATCGAATTAGCGAAGTAGAACTTGGATGGACTTTCATTTTGTATAAGTTGTATTCTAGTTTGTATATCTTAAAGCAATTCGGAAACAACAGCTTTTAACAATGAAATATAATAATATTAGTTGTCTATATAAAGATATATTAATAAAAAAATCGCAAATGTTGCTAACCGCAAAACTCGAAGACAGTTGGACCAATTGGAGTATTTTTTTAAATTTATTCCTTGAACTCTGTGGAAGGTTTTTATGAAGAAAAAAACGTGCGTGTACTTATATACACGCGTTAGAAGTTATACTTCTTTGGCGGAACGAGATAAAAGCCTTTTCAAAAATTTTATCTTTCGCCTTATTCTACGTTTGTAGAAAAAACGACACTAACAATAGAAAAAATTTAGTCTCATCATTTTTCCCTAACGCGCCAAAAGAAGCATAACTTAAAAACTAAAATGTTGACTAAAGCTAACTTCAGTGTCGAAGTCATTCTTTGTGACGGGTAAGGGCGCGCGCGCATCGTAAAATTTATGTGTCGATTTTTCACTAACGCGCCAAAAGAAGTATTACTTCAAAAATTTTGATATTAATTAGTACCTACTTAGGTTTTTGTTTCGGAAAAGCCAACAGTCTGTATGCATATCAAAATGTTCCATATTTTGGTATGGTAGGTACTAAGGTAGGCTAAGTAAAATCATATTAAGCCGAAACGAAGTCCGCAAGGGCATAATAAATATTGACACTACTCATTTGAAACGACAAAAATTTGAATGAATGATGGATGATGAAAAGTCATATTTTTTATAGAATAAAAACGAACAGGAGGCCAACCTGCAAGTGACCCATTCACTCACGCAGAGGGGCTAGTGCTGCCGGCCTTTATCGACTAGGTGTCCAAAGCTGAAACTTTTTATATGACGTATAATATTTGCTAAAGCCGTAAGGGTTTTTTTACATTGTATGAAAGATTTCTATTAAAATTAAAGTATTAATTTTCAGGGTTTTTAAGCGGCATTGCCCTTAAGAAGTATTCGTTCAGACAAGTCGGGTTAGTCGGCGCTGGATTGTTCGTCTTAGGAGATATACTGACAATATTTGTACAAAGGACATATCAACTAGTATTCACATTTGGAGTTATACGAGGTATCTATATACCGTTTAGATGAATATTGATGAATTAATGAAGTAGTTCCACACTCTCACCCCTGAGGTCGTAGGTTCGATCCCCGACTGTTCACCAATGGACTTTTATGTGCGCATTTATCACTAGCGCGTACGGTAAAGGAAAACATCATGAGGAAACTGGCATGCCTTAGACCCGAGTGTTGGGCACAGAAGGGTGATCTCCTACTTGCCTATTAGAAAAAACAAGTGATCTCGAAAGAGATACATAAATCTGAAGCCTATAAAAGTTCGTAGCTCCATTGGTTTTGGATAGATGAATTCATTGGCTATTTTGCTCGGCCGTGATTGTAATAGACTTCCTCGATCCCAAGATTTTCACGTTTAACAAAAAAACAAACTCTTCAGTTTTATAATTCTAACGTAGATTCTAAAATAAAATATTTAAAGATTCTAGATGAACTATGAAATATGCTTTTAAGTGACAATTCAGTTTAGGTTAGTTATTGTTTTTTGTTATTAACTAATTAATTAGTATATTATTTTATCATTCAGTTTTAAATTTGTGGTAAATCTAAACTTTACCAAACATATTTTACTCTAATTTTATATTTATTTATTTAAATTTTAATATAGGAAAACTTCCGAAGAGGTTAGGCTGTATGAAATTTAATCTTCGGGCTACCTATTTTCAATTAAAACTTTATCAAAACATGAATAGATTCAATTTCAAAATCTATACAACTGAGACTACTCATACTTTATTCAATTTTTATTCCAGGTGCTGGCTTCGGTGTTATGATACCAGTTAGTTTTACAGCATTTAATTGTTATTTTACAAAGAAACGCACAGCCATGATGAGCGCTAACCAGACAATGAGTAGCATGGCATCCATAACATTTCCAATTCTAGTAACTTTTCTACTAGCGGAATATGGCTTTCGGTGGACCCTTGCGTTAGTAATGGCTATAGATCTTCATTTATTATTCGCAATGATTGTGATGCATCCAGTTGAATGGCATATGATTAAAGCGCCTGAAGTTAAGGGTAAGCGAAAAATTAGACTACATACTATTCTATAATATTACTTGAATCTCGTATCTTTATTATATATATATATATATATAGATGTGATTTAAATAGTGACGAAGAGTTTCATTGTTAGTTCTCGTCCGTTCTACGCCCTTGATTTGAGAACTGGCAGTAAATGTGAATTTGGAACAGTACATGGTGTTACATATATATAAAAATAAATTGTGCGTGTACTAGGTGTACACACGTAAGAAGTGAAACTTCTTTATGATCTTATTTTTCGAAAAATGATCTATTATATGCTACTTTACAGAAATTCGTTAAATTAGATAAAGTTTAACAAAAGGCTTTTATTATCATAGACATGAATACAAATATTTCATTTTACCTTATTACTACTAAGATTATTATAGAATTTCATTAATTGTAATAGAATTATTACTATCATTGAAAAACGTGACGATTTGCTACAAAATTTCTCCCATACGTCGATAAAGAAGTTTCATTCCAACGCCGATAAAGAAGTTTGACTTCAAAAAGCAACATGGCGCGTAACCGAAAAATGTGACGCGTAACGAAAAAATGTTACACTAAATTTTTTTCCAACCTCGATAAAGAAGTTTCACTTCAAAAAGTGTGTGTTGTGTACACGCATTAGAAGTTATACTTCTTTGGCGTAACAATTCTTCGAACACTTAAGAGGCACGTTTCCCTCTTCGAATTGCATTTTTCTTGTCCATTTCAATCGGAACGATATAATATGTACTAATCATGACATTTTCCAGTAAACACTATCACATTGGAACGGGTTTTCTCGTATAGAAATCATTATTTTAGTTTAAATAAACACGACTCTGAAAACTACGCCATGACTGACCATGCAACTTGTCGATAAAACAGAGCAAGCGCAAACTGGCGGCCCAGACTGTTTTACCGACGTTTGAACAGATATTTATCGTAAAAATTTACTCTCATCATTTTTCCCTAACGCGCCAAAAGAAGTATAACAACAAAAATTATATTTTGTATTAAAATCTGTTGGCTTGGCTATTTCGCGTAGGAAAGTCCTTTTAGACTTCAATAGGAAAAAGAAATTAAATATGATAAAAAAAACTAAAGGCTACTGACCTTTTGACCAACAAATTATACATGGCAAGACAATTATTTCCCTTTAAAATGTTGAGTTTGTTATTCATTTACTCCATCTCGTGACTAACCGCAAAGTACATAACTAGTAGGTACTGTTTTTAACAATGAATATAAATAAAAACTCAAAGTCGAATTAACTCATGACAAAAATGGATGTGATACACGGGTCATATCAATATAATCAATCAGAAACCAGTAAAATGCAATATGTGATTGTGAGGAGACAAATAATACACTTTATTATTATTGTAATTCCATTTTGTCGTTGATGAAGTCTTAAGTACTTTCTAAAACTCTTATTCCCCCCAACGTAACATACAAAATTCAATATAAAAAAATTGAAATGTTTACTTAAGAAACTTTTATGCTCTTGTTAAATGACACGTCTCCAGCCGGTGTTACGTTCTTAACAGAACATTAACATTTCCGTCCCTGATTGATGAGCATTTCCTAAGGTATTTGCCACTCTTTTAAAAAATGGGAAATTCTTTATGCCATCATTATAGCTTATCAACCTAATTTTTATTAGAATTTAATTAGAATCGGTGAAATTTGTGGTATTTGTTAAAAAAAAAAACCTCAGCAGGGTAGTCTCAAACGTTCCTTTTTTGATATATAAAAGTGTTTAAATTTAAAATTTCAATTTTAGGCAACCAGCCTAAAATTATGAATTACATAAATATATTGATGGATTTTATTATAGTATAGCAAAAAAAACTGAAGAAAGTACTATAATTATTTTAAAAGTAGCCTGTTTTATCTATTTTGTTAACATAGACCAAAAATAATAATAATCTGGTAGCTAATCCGTATTGTTAAGCAAAAAATTACTAGTAAAAACTAGAATTGGATGTATAATATTTTTATTGTATTTTTGTAAAATTTATGTTCACCAAAATTTTAAAATACATAGCTTTTAACATATAGGTACTGTAGAAAATGCATTATACGTGTGTACTTCGATAAATAAAAAGGGGTCCATTGTGGTTGCGGTTCTGTGTCATCATTGTGTTTGTTGCTTCTATGTGTTTATCCATCATTTTCAGAACTCTCATCATATTGTGACGTTAACAGTGTTAAAAATAAATCCGAGTCCTTTGACGAAGCTGTTATAAAAATGTTGCCAGGTGATGACGTCATTGAGATTAAGAAATCACCTCTCCGGCACGAGTCGATCCAGAAAAGCATTATGTGAGTACAATGTTAACATATTAAAAATATACTTCAAGTTGAGGCTTAAGAACGGGACTTTTCACCATAAGCAATATAACAAAAAAAAAATACAATCATGTCTATGTATTACTAAACTTTTCCTCATTTTTATTTTTAAATGCTTTGACAAATCATTAAGTATTATTTAAGCGGGCCATAGACGGACCGCATGTCGCAGTCAAGACCGACTGCAATATGCGGTTTGCTCAGGAACTGCTCGAGCGGTCCGTGTATTGCGAACATGAATTTAGTATGGAAACTGCAGATCGCCGTGCGGCGACCGCTTAGAGCAGTCGGTATCGGCTGCAACATGCGGTCCGTCTATGGCCCGCTTTACAGAACGACAACCTAGGCATATTTGATTTGAATGATAAATTTTGGCAGTTGCCATAACGGCGTAGGCAAACGTCCTCTTGTCAACCGTATCCCTCAAATAATTGCTAATAACAAAATATAAAATTGAACCTAATTACTTAAAACCTAAAATAGCAAAATATATATTTCCAGTACATCTAAATTTATAAAACAAATTCGTGTTAGTTACACCACTTATGACTCAAGATCGGCTGGACCCATGTTAGTTATCTCTTTTTTGGTGGATTCTTCTCCGCTCCGAATAGCAGAATAAGTAATCAAATATCGGGAAAGTTATCGAATAACAATAAATTAATTCATTAATTTTACGAATGCAAACAGCATGTGGTGCCATCTGTTGACAAAACTACGCATTATTTTACATTGAATTCGTGTCAGTTCAAGAAATTCCGATCTTGAGGGGAAAGAGGAGATGCATAACCAAGCTTTAATCTTGATGGACCTCATCAAAAAATGTTTATATCAGAAAGTGCTTTAACATGCAGTATCGCAATATTGGCGCTAGAGACAAGAGGCCTAATGTGTAAAACTGCCATTCGTCTTTCGCAATGGCAAGCACTAAAACATTTCTGTATTTGGGAAAAAAGTTGTATTAATGTTATTATCTTAATGAAATCCCAAATTAAGTTTAACTAAAGTTAACACGATATTATTAGACTGTTAGGCGGAACGAAGTTAGCCGGGTCTAGTTATTTATAACTGTTATTTAATTTAAAATGCAAATGACGTATATGGCTCAAATCAAAATAATTATTATTCAATATTCTAATCTATGTTTTTGTCACAGCAAAAAACGAGTTATAAACAACAAAATCTTTTAATATTAACATACTTAAGTGATTTAATTAATATAGCGTTATATGTTATGTTCATTTCCTCCCCTTTATATAGTTCAGGGATATCAATGACTGTCTTTTTTACCTTTCACTTAGTAAGATAAAATATTTTAGATTATAAAACGTCAGTCTAATCACACCAATTAAACAAAATTAAAAGGTGGAGTAAGGGTTATTCAATAAAAGTCGAAACCCACTTCTATACTTTTTTATATTGTTATGATAATTATTTAGTTAAAAGAAGGTTAAAGTCAGTAAATTCTAACTGCAAATTCACTATATCACTATGGTGTATACCTGAAGTTCGGGAATCTAGAATAAAATATTAAAATCGTTTTATTTTAGTGTAGTTTTTTAGCTAACGACGCAAAAATTATTCATTTTTATATCTCTTTGATTGTGTTTTTTTTTTAAATTTGAAAAACGTCAGAAAGGTTACAAATAACACATATTTACCATTTTTGTCACTCGATAACGTTAATTATTTTGGATAGAAAGATCACGCAATGATCACTTGATCCTTCTCCATGTACTATTGAAGGATCTCGGGGTATTTTATTTTTGCTTTCAAACATCTCACATGTTAAAATGAGGACTATCAGATACTTATATGTTATAGAAAAAATACACATGTATGACAATAACATGAGAACTTAAGAAGGCGCATGGCCAACTAAATTTCTCGTATTTTTATTGTATGCCTATTTCATCTTGTATATGTCGCAGCCAACTAGCGAACATAATCAAATTAAGGGTTAATCAGCCGTCCAATTAACAGCCTAGCCTATTAACGGCGCCGTTTAACTAAAGACTTGAATATATATTTTAGTAGTATTTTTCAATATTCTTTTTTTGTAACACTTACTATGTTTACTTAAATTGTCATACATTTTAGATAAAAGAGGTTCTAGCATATACCGTAGATTTAGTACTATGAATGATCTGGTGAACTTAATAAATAAATAAATTTGTATGAAAATTTGTCGACTGTCATTTTCATACAAATTAGCTTTCGAAATTAGCCCCTGAAAGGATCTGCCTTGCAACTTCCTCACAATCGAGTAGCGCGGAAAATCGCAGCACAAGGGGACTTTTTGTATAGAAGAAGTAGTATAGTTCCGTAAACATACAAACATACAATGTACATACATATATAGCAATTAGGTAGAAATATAACAAGGCAAAAGAAAATAATAATAGTACATAATTAACACTGCAAGGTTGCTAAACGTCATTCATCACTTTTAGTATATTTATTATAACATATTCACACTTTCTTTTAACTTTCAGAAAAATAATATATGACAACGTAGAACTTGATCTCCTAAAGGACCCGAAATTCGTCAGTACCTTGGTAGGCCTCGGATTTGCCTTCGTCTCAGACGTGACCTACCTAGCCATGGAACCGATGCTCTTATTCTCCTATCAGTATTCGAAGGTGAGGATAAATTTGATAATATAATATATCTGTTCATGTTTATAACGAGCTCTTTATCAGAGATTGTGTATGAACTTGTGATATTTATTAGTTTTTAGTTATTATCGGAATTTTATAATCTAGCTGCCTGCTACCATCAAAGACAAATTAATTTATTAGTGATTCATATTCGATCAAAAGAACGTTAAACAGATCATTCCAAAATGATCTTAATATCCGTAGCGCAACCTTAGAATAGCACGGAACAAAACTTCTTATTAATATCGGGTCGCTGTATCACTGTTAGAAGTTACAGTGTTAGGGATCTGAGAGGAATAGACAACTTAGCAGTTTTTTTACCATCATCTTCACAATTTAATATGAATACAATATCAAGATTATTCTTTTTAAATCAGTTATTTTCCACCTCAGTACAAGCCTTTTGTCAAATGTCTAAATCAGTTGAGTATATCTTCCACCCAATTCTGGAATGATTACTATTTTCGCTTGTAAATAATGTTGTTAGCCTAACAACTAACACCAGCATTGTAACGTTTTATAATAATGTTAAACATTCTATTTTTTTTTACATAATTGTAGGCATTCTAAATTGTTTAGTAATTTCGAAAAACTTTTTCAATACATTTTACTTCAATATTTCAGATGCAAGTCGCAACATGTGTAATGGCTGGGGCGATTGCTGATTTGGCTGCTCGATTCTTCCTCGCTGTATTTACTTATTTCTACACAGTCGACAGTAGGAAGGTTTTCTTTGTGGGCACATTTATAACGATGATTTTAAGAATTGGTAAGTATTTAATTATGGATGGCTCAATTTAATTAGTAGTTATATTTAAAATATATTTTGACTAACTACCACAGCCAAAATAAAAATAAATTTATATTTAGCTATGCGTACTTAACACAATGAAATTAGTTTTTTTAATTTTTCTAAAGTAAATATAATTAACTTATTACAATGATTGTACAGTTACCCAATGTTTACAAACTTTTACTTTTTGAAGTTATACTTCTTTAGGCGCGTTATGAAAAATTTATGAGAGTGAAATTTTACTATGCGCGTGCACCGTGACACAAAATTATCAGTATGGGCGTTGAGCGTGCGCGAGCGAGATGGGAATAAGACAATCTACGAGTAAAAAGAAATAGAATATGCGTGACGTTAGCAGCTATGCCAAGAATTTTGAATGACCAAAATGACATTTGTAGTACCTTTTAAACAAATAAAGGAGTTTTAATTATTTTTTCAAAGAAATTTAGCAATGCTTTTTCACAAAGACATTTTGTTACTTAGTTAAAAGGTTATGAAACCTACCTAGTTATTAAATTGAATTAATAATATAATAAAATAATAAATAATAATTATTATTAATATTAATTATTATTAATATTAATTATTATTAATATTAATTAATAATTGAATAATATACTAAATATTAAATATTGTTAAATTATTAACGCTAAATTTTTATTATTAATTATTTAATATTTAAAAAAAATAAAGAAAGCCAAAGAAGTATAACTTCTTACGCGCGCACATAAGTACACGCACCATTTTTTTTAAAATATTTTCCTGATCACTGTTTACATAAGTTTTCATTGCTTTGTTTTTTATTACTTTTGTCTAAATAACTAAAGTCCTATGTATTTTTGCACTTCGTGCTCACCTTATCCAATTTAATTTATTTCGTTTTGCCTGGAAGAGATCGCTCGAATTGTATTATATTTCTGCAACGAAGTGTTAGTAAATAAATAATATACATAAGTCATTAAATCGAAAACAACTCAAATTCGTAGGTAGTTTTTTAAATATTTTTAAGCATAATTCACATAATTTACTTTTTATAGCCTTTTAATTCTTGATATATCCAATCGGAAGTGTCACATTAAAATAATTCACACGATATATCGTTATCCCAAAATTAACTGTAGATATGTAACGTACTTATAATAATGTTTTGACAAACTTTTTCCTTGAACGGCTATAAAAGAATAATAAATTCGTAAATTATAATTTTAAAAGGTTAACAGCTAAGTAATTACATATAAAAATATTTTATTTAAATTTTTATATAAAAACAGTTTTTAAATACACGTACTATTCTATTCTCTATTTAGAATACCTTAAAAAATAGAATGCTTAACATTATTATAAAACGTTAAAATGCTAGGTGTTAGTTGTTAGGCTAACAACATTATTTACAAGCGAAAATAGTAATTATTCCAGAATTGGGTGGAAGATGTACTCAACTGATTTAGACATTTGACAAAAGGGTTGTACTTAGTTAGAAAATATCTGATTTAAAAATAATAATCTTGATATTGTATTCATATTAAATTGTGAAAATGGTAAAAAAAACTCCTAAGTTGCCTATTACTCTGAGATCCCTAACACTAACTTCTAGTAGTGTTGAATAGTGAAACAAATTCTATCCTGACCAAAAAAATTATACCAAGAATTAGAAACTGAATTAACGCCATTTACTCCATACGAATACAATTTTCCATCACATTTGTTATGTAAACGTGTTTCTAACTTTTTATGATATACAAAAACTCAAAAACTACCGAAATGGTTTTTATATGCAATAGATTGTTGTGGAAGATTTCAGTGTATGGTTATGGTTTTATTTGTATTATTTTTGAAGAGGTCACATGGAATATTGACAAAATCCACGCGGGCAAATCTGCGGAATTTAGAAATAAAAAAAAAATCACTTTTTCTAAAGATGCCTTATTTTAATACAACACTCGCAAAAACTACGATTATAATATGTAAGTCAATATTAGACCACAATTGATTTGCGGATGCTACTTGTGGTGACTGCTTGGACTTGAATTCGTGTATGTTAGTTATTTCGACTATGTATTTGCGTGTTTTTCCCACGGGAATGTAAGTGCGTGCTCCTATTTCACCATGCCTCCTGCTGATCAAATCTTTGTTTTTAATTTATTTTATTATTATTAATTACTTAAAGGAACATGAACATGGTGCAATGGTTGCAGCTCCTTACAAACATTGTGTAAAACAAAAATATAGGCGATTAAAAAGACTGGCGGAGAGTTATTGCCAGTTCTTTTCTTCCGTTCTACGTTCCGTTCACTTGATTTGAGAACTGGCAGTAAATGTAAAATTAGAAGCATTTCATATATATTTATTTTTTGACGTTCATAAGTGTACATTGTGTTACCTATATGATAAATGATTTTTGCAATTATGTCACGCGGAATTGAACCCAAGAACTAGCCAATTCAGAAACTACCATACTGGCTTATGACTTATTTTCATTTGTAATTTTTTTCCAGTTCTCATACTGTCAGATAATATAACGTATGTCTTCGCGATAACTATAATATCTGGCCTCGTGAGGTGTTCTGTACAAGTGCTATTTCCACTTGTGCTGGTAACAGCTGCTCCTGACAGATTTCCAGCAGCTCTAGCCCTCCACATACTATTCTCTGGATGCCTCATGTTGATGGCGGATCCTATGATAGGTATGTATAAATGCCTGGTAAACAGGACTTCAAGAAGGGTGTTCCCGAATGGGTCTACCCCATTCGGGAACACCCTACCCGAGAACTGATTTTCCTAGGAATAAGACATTATATTTGTACATACACACTCAAAGCCTTCGGACTTGCGTCTGTTCACGCGTAATTTGATCATGTCGTTTATCATATCTTTTTCACTTCTGTGTCACCTAACTGAGTATATGTTTTAACTAAAGGCGAACCAAAGTACGAAAACACCTCTTATACAAATAAAAATATTTGTATTTTTGTAACTCAAAAACAACTGGGCTGATTTCAAGAATTCTTTTACCATATATTTTTTTTATTATAAGAGGACAATAGTCGCTTGCGCACGATTATATATATAGCCATACAATAATATTTTTGAACTGGGTCTTTCAGGTGTAATATACGAAGCAACGGGGAGTTACGTGAACTGTTTCATAGCAATGAGTTTTTGCTGTTTAGTGTGTATTGTTTTATGGACTGTAGAGTATTTTGTCTATCGTAAGAAAGCGTAATGGTGTCAAAAATCAGGAAGGAAATGATTTTAAACTTTTGTATTTCTGTAGTTTGTATGTGCTAATTTAATATTTTCTTAATGTGTTTAAATCATAGTTAAAGCCCGACCAATAAAATAAAATCCCTGCTCGGGCTAAATTACCTTTGATGATAGCAACACTAAGTTAGTCATACACTTGCAAATTGACATTTAACACATTCACAGAGTCCATTCCTTTAGACTTTCTTTCCGACAAACCCTTTATATTAACAACGTTCCATAACTGGCTTTTAATATTTTTCGGCATAACTCTTATAACTCATAATATCCAAGAATTAGAGCACGAATCGAATCGACACCACATGACACATTGACAGATGACAATGACAGTCAATAATGACTTTTCAAAAATGTTGCCATTTGAATGTCTGAAGTCCGAAAATCGACGATATGTGTCTATCAAATCAAAATGATCAAAGAAACGGATGCAATCTGAGGCCAAGAACCATAGGTATAGGGTTGTAGCGCCACTGGATTTTTACTATTATTGAATAGATTTTCGCAATATAGAGGTTTTTGTTTATTTTATTGGTCACATTTTACACTAAGCCATATTATTGTATAAGTTATAACTTCAGTTTTTATGTTAATTCGAATATTGACCCTATGTATGAGGCTCTTCTATGTAATAGTTTTAAATTCGTACAATTCTAGTATTAAGTATAATTAAATTGCAATTCTAAGTTACCTAATTAAATGCTAATAAAACATATATAACAAGAGCTATATCCCAAAGGTATGTAGCACTTAAATTACTATATATAATCAAATATATAGACTATAACTATGTTCATATATTACGTGTCATAAAATGTCTTATTACACAGTTCTAGGTATAGTAATCATGTCTCCTTTTGTCTCAGCGTAAACTATTAGATAGAAAGAGAAGAAAGAGTAATGTTGTGAAAAGGAAAACTGTATTTAAAATAAATCCGCCAGTACCATGTGTATTCAAAGTAATAATTAAATATGAAACCCTAACATGATAAGTTGAGGTCATAACCTTATTTTTAAAGGCATGTTTTCTTCCTATAGCAGAATTTACAGTTTAGTCAAGTAAAAATGTATTTCTTATTTTGTATTTAACGGGATTAGGTCCCTTAACGGGAGTGGCTGGTCCAGAAGGCTTACTCGGGGATAAAGAATGCTTTGCATTGATACAGACTAAATCAATTTCCAACTAAAAATATATATTATAGTAGACTCGGCCAAGCGTTGCTGTGGCTAAGGCTTTTGTTATATTACATAGTAGTAAACTATTCAAAGGAAACGGCAGGAAAACAACAGTCATGGGGAACATTGTGCTTTTTTGGTGGCTATGCCAGAAAATTGTCGCTTATGTGAAACGTTGGTTGGTACTTTCAACACAGCGCCATCTTTTAGAATTGTGTCAAATAATAAACAAATAATTTGCAATAAAATTACATTGCGGGAATAAATTGAGATGTAAGCTATCCTACCTTTTAAGTTGGATCAAACTACACACGGTGTGCAAATTTGATTGATATCGGTTGGTATTTGTTTTTGGGTGCCAGGTAGCGCTAAAATACCAAGCCATTATTTTAAATGTTAAAAGAGTTTATTAACTCCAAAAAGTACAAAATAATATTTGTTTGTTGACATTGTGACAATTTAAAATATTTTCCATGATAAACATCCAACCATTATCGCTGTTATTTATTAATGTATGCATCATTTTTAATAGTATTTTCTATTAAAATTATAGTAAAATTATAGTAAGGTCTCCATTTATTTTGTATAATTTAAAGAAAAAGCAAAACAGCACATAATTTAATTTTAACAATTGTGCCTTGCATAACTTTAGTTATCATAAATTTTAATAACCACCTACATCATTTATGTTCGTTAATAAACTATATTTTGTAACCATGTAAGAGATTGTTTGAAAACCAAAAAGAATTTAATAAAACCATTTTATTAAAGAGCATTTATTTCATGATATAAAAATCACCTATCGCAACCAGTCAAGAATATAAATAACCCTAATTACACAAATGATAAACTTATATCAATTTGAAATTAGTTACGCCATATATTAATTAACTTTCTCCTAACTAGACGACTAATTGCAGACCTAGAATTCCATATTTCCAGCTAAAGAAATAGTCACGTTCGTTATAATACCAGCAATCTCCTAGTCTTAACCTATTAAGGTTTTGACAAGACTTCGTAGGGGATTGGAGGGGGGAGCTCCTAAATTGAGGGATGTTGAAGGTCTGCAACCAGTTAAGGAGTTTAAGCAGCGGTGGATGGTACCCGTTGCCTGGGCGCAATTTGTACCCTGAAGCCGTCTGTTCTCTTCAGGATAATATCAGCCTGTAGCACAAACTGGTCCTCGGTGACGTCTGACTCCATCTTGTAGTTACGGAGAATAGTAGAGAGGAGTACTTTAAGTTTTAGAAGGGCGTATTTGCGGCCTGGAATATGCAAATTGATTCGTTAGAGAAATAAAGGGTAAATCTTTTATAATTTAATTATATTTAGCATAATGACGGTGAAAGTATTATGCATATTGTTCATTAATTTTGACTCTTTGTTAACGCCATAAAAAAAATGATTTTATTAAATATTTCTACTTAGGGTAAATTGTGCGATAAAAAGAAGAGCATTTAAATAATCCGAACTTAGGCAAGGTGCCTTTATAGCGTAGGAGAGTATTTAGACTATGAGTTTGACAACATAAACATTTGAAAATTATAATTAATTGTTCTTATTATGACATCATGATAATTAATATGTCATTTGCATGCCTATTTTAATATGGCTGATTGTGCGGTGTGTTTATAACTAACCAATCTAAATGTACCACTTTCTTTGCAAATAAACGATTAATTATTTAGACAAAAAGAAAAGAGAAAGGAAGACGTACCGACACAACTCCTGGGTCCAGCACTGAATGGAATGTAGCTGTAGTAGTGTCTGTTCGATGTATTCTCTGGCAAGAAGTTGTCAGGGTCGAAGACGTTGGGGTTCTTGTAGTATTTGGGGTTGCGGTGGATCTGGTAGGTTCCCACGACCACGGTTGATCCCGCGGGAAGTAGGTAGTTGTTTGTCGCTGAAATTTACAAATTACTTCATTAAGAACCATCTGCTTGCCGAACCATTAAACTTCCTAGCTTTTCAGACGTTTATGGGAAGTGACAAACACGGTATAGTAAATTAATTAAATGAATCGGCTCGTGTCACCACAGTTTATTCCTGATTCTGTCAAAATGAGGGCATAAAGAAAATAATGGTTTATTTAATTTACATTTGGGGGTTACACCTATTTTTCACCTAGTTTACTTTTATATTCTATTAATATTGTAAAGAGAAACTACAGGGCCGATTAACATTAAATTATAGCCTATTTGCTTAATATTTGAAAAGTAAATATCCAGCCGTGTGAACGATAGCCTATATTCTAGTATATTTTACATAATCTTATATATAAAATTTTCGTGTCGTGGTTTTTGTAGTTAAACTCCTCCGAAACGGCTTGATCGATTCCCATGAAATTTTGTGTGTCTGAGAATCGGACAAAATCTATTTTTCATCCCCCTAAATGTTAAGGGTAGTCCACCCCTAAATTTTTTTTGTTTTAATTTTTAGATATTTTTTTTATGATACAGCATTAAAAAATACATACAACCCTTAATTTTCACCCCTCTACGATCAACCCCTATTTTTTATTATAAATGATATACATGGCAAAACGATGTTTGCCGGAGCAGCTAGTGATAGATAAAACTTAAATGAAACTTACAAATCTTAACATCACGGTTCAGCTTCCTTGCAATAATGGGCACTGGTGGGTACATCCTAAGAGATTCAAAGATGACTCTCTCGAGGTATTTCATCTGAAGGGTGTCTTCAAAGGTGCATGGACGGTCAGAGTCACCGAAGATAGAGTAGAGCTCGTCGTACACTCTGGTCTGAATGTCATGGTGGATACCGAGGAGGCAAAGCACGAAACTGGATCCAGCAGCCGTGGTGTCGTGGCCCTAAAATTATTCATGAAAAATTATGTGTCTTAGAACTTACTTAGACTTCCACCGTGACTCCGTATACGACAGTATAATATACACTGAGTAATAGTTTCGAGTCCGATGAAACGTTAATTGTTTTGGTCTGGAAGGCATAACCAACTGGGATTCGTCACTAGATGACGCTATAGCTTTTGGAATCGGCCCTTAAGGTAAGATGCAGTTTCAAATACGGGAGCTAATTAGCAATAAGTCTCAACTTCAGTAGCGTAACTATACCACCTGGGGCCCGTGGCAAATTCTTTTGATGGGGCCGATCTGTAAAAATCGTCACGTTGTACTCAGTTTAGTTATAATATCTACTTTGAGATTTTCAGCGTACTCAATTACATGTTGTATATGTCCCACTAATGGCCATAGGAATCCTCTCTTAGGCGAAAGGGAATGGTCTGTAGTCATTCATCCATAGAACATAATATCTCTTGGGCAGGGGCCCTCTTGGATCGAGGGCCCGTAGCATTTTGCCAGCCCTGCCACCCTATTATTACGCCACTGCTCAACTTTGAATATCATCCTACCTCAGTTGACATTCTAGTAAAGTTTTTAAATAATATTCCATCGTCTGCCTTAATTATGGTTAGTAAACTAGTCCGTGGGCAATTCTGAAGTAATCTTGTTTTCCAGCAACGTTTCTTCTTCCGTTCTTTAGCTACATAGCTTAGTAGTACTAAATAAGCTGCTGCTAAAGTTACTTGATCACCCATATTCTATGGTGTATTTCCTTGATCAAACCAAGTAGGTAGACCAGTAACACTCCATAAACAGCACAATGCTTTGGAAATTATCCAGGCACGATGTTGCCTCGGCGTAAAATAGGCTGCCGTATGCCACATATGCCGCAAATGCTCCTATTTGTAGCATGCCACAAGGTGTCGCATGCCACAATTTGTAGCATGCCACAATGTGTAGCATGCGGCACTGTCGCACGTTGTTGACTTGCCGTCCTAATGTAAATAGCAAAAAAAGAAACATGTTTTTTTTTAAAACGTTAAGAAAATCATATTGCCCTGGAGTGCTCTTTCTTGTGACGAAGTTCTATCTTCTATAAAAAGAAAATTGAAATACCTCGAACATAATAGTGTCAACCTCTTCTTTAATTTCGTGGTCAGTGATCTTGTGTGCTCCACTCTGGGCGGCTTCAATCATAAGGTCCAAGAAAGCAAGTCGTTTCTTTTCACCTAAAACAGTTCATGTATGCTTACAAATCAAATAAGATTTAATTTAACTCATCTTTCTCAAGTCATCACAGCTTATACACAATTTGACAGAAAGAGACAAAAGAGTATTTAAAAGAGAGTCATTATAGTGATTTTATATTTTTAAGGAAGAGGGTGTTTATACGTCATATTGAAAAGAATAAATGAAATCACCCCAACGTAGGAAATACAGTTGGTAGAGCAAAAATCCGTCAAAGCCAAACAATTATTTATTTGAATGGAACAGATATATGCATTTATATCGTAAATAATGAGTGAAAATCTATTTGTATCGATTCTGATGGAATCATGGTTATGTCATGGTGTAATGGTTGCAGCTCCTTACAAACGTTGTGTAAAAAAAACCATGGCGATTAAAAAGAGTGGCGGAGAGTTTATTGCCAGTTCTTCTCTTCCGTTCTTCGCCCTTGATTTGAGAACTGGCACTAAATGTAAAATTAGAAGCATAATGTGTATTTCTTTACTGACGAGTCATAAGTGTACAATGTGTTACCTATATGATTAAATGATTTTTGAATTTCGAATTTGAATTAAATCTCTACCTCGAACTGAACAATATTCTTATAATAAATTATATGTAGTTGCAAAACTTTTTCTCTTATCCTTACCAACATCGTTCTCATCATTGAAGTCCAGATCGTCACGGTAGCCCTTGAACACTGTGTCAGCCAGGGTCTTAGCATTGGCTAGTCCAGACATGTCTTTGTCAGTCGTCTTTTCTTCTACAACGGTTGCTGTGGCAAGTCCCTTAGCTTTGTTATGGATGTACTTTTCCTTCTTGTTCTTGATTACCTATTACAAATAATGTGAAATATTATGTATTTTTGAAGTTATACTTCTTTAGGCGCGTTATGAAAAATTGATGAGAGTGAAATTTTACGATGCGCGCACCGTGACACAAAATTAACAAAATGAAGTTGTCCACGGAAGATGCTACGGCATTGGACATAATTTAAAAACAACATTCGAATAATAATAGAATTTATGTTACACTTATGTAAGAGAATGATAATAAATATTGATTTATTTAATTTTTCAAATGTAAACTGAACTTTATTGACTATAATGACTCCTTTTCCAGTCTTTGATTATTTAATTGTAATTAATTATTTGCATACAATCAAAAACTACTTTTAATAATGCCAAAAAAGTACAATTTCTTACGCGCGTACATAAGTACACGCACCCTTTTTTATATATGTGTGCATAAGTATTTGTATCATCATTTCGCATTGTTTTGAGATTCGAGCCAAACATTTCAGGTTTTACGCAAAAACCTGTAAAAATCTAATAAATTACTTTAAATAAATATTGTATTATATAGTGGAATTCTTCTGGGATGATTTCGGTGCCTTACATTATTATATATCTATGCCGTCACTTGAGTAGCCTATAAAAATTCGTATAAATAATATCTATTATATAGTATAAACTGATGGATCCGACAGACGTTGTCCTGTACACACATCAAGATCGGTCCAGCCGTTTAAGCGTTTAATTACGAACTTGCACAGCAGATTTAAATAATTATATATACTAGCTGTTTATTTGCTATATACATACATAAACTAGATACCGACTGCAGCGCCATCTGCCGGGCTTTGTGAATAAATTTGTGAATCTAAACCATCCAGGGTGCCAGTCAAACGCATACAAAAAAATTCATTTAAATCGGTCCAGCGGCTCAAGAGGAGTTCAGTGACATACAAGAGAATTATATATATAAAGATAATGTATTACTTTGTTGGTAAGTCCGTGGATGATTCCTAAGAGTTTCTTCTGTTTCTCAAAGAAAGAGGTGAACTTGAAAATGGCGTCAAAACGCAGCCAGAATTTGTAGTGCCTTTGGTGAATAATGTCACACATCCTGAAAATAAATAAAATACTTTCTTAAAAACAAGCCTTTAAAATAATAATTTTATTATTAATTCAATTATCTTTATAGATTATTTTTGTCGCATATTTAAGTTGTATTAATAAACTAGCTGGTGCCGCTGCTTCGTCTGACCAGGATTAGTATTTCGAGTAGCTTATATTAGCGTGGCGTAGAAAAAACTACAAAAGATATTGACTATTTAAAATAAACATTTCCATCATACATTACATATGCGCAACTCTAGCGGTTTTTACAGCGCCCGCCAGAATAGCTCGCAGATGGTAGATTTTTTCCTAATTACTTGATATTTTGGACAATTCACACAATATCTTTATAAATTTTAGCCTATGTGTTATTCTGATGTATAAGCTATATTACTGTAAAGTTCAATTCAGTAGTTTTTTGGGAAAGAGTAACAAACATCCATCCATACTTATAAACTTTAGCGTTTATAATATTAGTTGGATAGATACCCAAAACTTTCATGTAGTAATTAGCGGGAAGTGGAACAAAACACGGAGCGTTGGATTTTTCTCGTTTCAGAGGACGCTTTGAGACATTTGTCACTACTAAAAAAAATATAAATAATGCTTACTTCATGACAGCCATAGCATAGTCAAAGCCGGACGCATCTTGAGTTTCCTTCGTGATACCCATTGCAGTTTCTGTAATTAAATCAAATGAAAACATTACTACCTAACATAGAAATGTATAAGTATAAGGATATCTTTTTAACATTATAAACAAGTATAATTTATCTTCACAACGTAATAAAACAACAACGGCTACAACCCTTAGTTTTGGGCCTTAGATTTCTGTATCTGTTTCGTGATATTATACTACTGACGTTTTCCTTCATTCAATTCTGAATTTTTAGGGAAAATATTTAGATATTCAATTTATTGTGAGTTCTTCTCTTCCGTTCTACGTCCTTGATTTGAGAACTGGCAGTTAATGTAAAATTAGAAGCATTTCATATATATAGTTTTGACGTTCATAAGTGTACATTGCGTTAATTAATGAATAAATGATTTTGAATTTGAGTGACACGGACTTTTTTCTGTACGGTAAAAAAAATCATTGTGAGGTATGACGTGCCTTAGCTCCGAAATCGACAGCGACAGAAGGTTGATTACGAAACAGATACCGGCATCTGATACGATTGTTGAGTATTCCTTAACTGCAATAGATTTACGTCATCATCATCAGCTTCTGGCCCGAGCTACACGCTATGCTAGTAATTGATATAATGCGCGTGTCATAATTACAAAGTGACCCTGACTTATCGGCAGTTATTAAACAATATAGATCAACAATTATAATTTAAGTATTCAGTAAAGGTCGGATATATACTTCAAAAGCATTATTATTATTAGAAATAGTGTATTTATCCGTACATTTATATTAACTTGTCAACTATAATGACAGTAGTTGCCCCAAATTTAGTTTTTATATAAAATAAGATTATTATTGTGATTATAGAATGCATGACTTTAAAAAGAGGAAATTGTAATGTTTGTTCTAAAAAATAAAATAATTCAAATTGTGTGTAGATACAGAGATTGAAGTTTGAAATTATATCTTATATTTAATGTATGTGCGAAATGTTTTTAATAAATTTAAGATAAATCGGTTATCTGACTTTTGCCCAAGTGAACATATTTTTCTCAATTAAATAAATTATATATATGAAACAAAAAATTACTAAAACAAAGGAATTGTTAAATTATTATTACCTAAAGGTCATAGATTAATAATGTATTATGTAAATGAACGTTACATGATTGAACAATAAAATAAATTTGTGCGTCAGAATTAATTTAAATTAATTTCACTTTCATTTACATAAATTAATCTAATACATAAAAGTGTCGTGTACTGTGTTTGTAATTAAACTCCTCCGAAATGGCTCGACCGATTTTCGTGAAATTTTGTGTGCATATCGCTTTAAGCTAACATCTGTTTTTCATCCCCCTAAATGTTAAGGTCCAACCCTAAATTTTTTTAGACAACATTTTTTGTTTTTATTTTTATATGATACAACATACAAAAATACATACAACCCTTAATTTTCACTTCTACACTACCCATATTTTTTATTTGTTAATTAACTAATTATGACTTGACCTCTGAGGTTTATATAGAGAAAATTTCACGGAACAACCTAAAAAGTTTTCATTCCGGAAGACCGAAAAGTCTCTGGGTAGGATAGCAAAATGTTCCATGTTGGTATGTACTAAAAGAGTTGGCTAAGTAAAATCACATTAAAGAGAAACGAAGTTCGCGGGGGCAGCTAGTAATATGTAAATATAATAAATTCTGTGCATTAAATGAAATTGTAGATATAAGTATATGACGTTAACAATATAATATAATAGTTTAATGTGTGTGTGTGTGTGTCATTACAATGTAGTATAAAGGACTGTTTAGCGGCTAAAAGGACAGATATTTAAAATTAAATTAACTATATCATATGAATCGTTTACGCAATTAGGTAACTCGTTTGTTTCTCTCTGCAAAACTGTGATGAAACATATAAACTCGTCAAAACTGTCTATAGTGTCGCTTAGAGTAGAGAGCACGTTCGTTCTATCATGGTAAAATCACTTTTGTGAAAATTCTCAACGCAGAGTTATGTTACGCATGTATACGTAAGGATTCGAATTTGAGACCGTCATGAAATGACTCCTGTCTATACTGTCAGGTCGCTATCTGTCATGCGTGTTCAATACAATAATGCTTTTAGGATGCTCTTGAACCGGGTACGAGCGATTGGAACAGCTTCTTGAAGACTATGGCAGGTGACCTGTCTTCACCATCATGGGGCATTTTGTGCGTACACTTGTCGGTTCAGATCGAGTATATGCTAGACTTTTTCATGAGTTTTATGTGTAGCTTTTAATAATAATATACTAACTCTAGTCTGTAAGTTTATACTAACATAATGATGGATTATTTTATCTGAACAAATAAAATAAATAATAATACGTTTTTATCCACTCCGAATCTTAGGGACTTTAAACTGTGAAAAAAGCCTTACCTAATAGAATATCCACTGTTACACCACTCATGTAGTCATGGACGTCGAAAACTTTACCCATTTCCGACTTCATTCTGTTTACCACAGATAGACTGTTCTGGTTAAATGTGTCAACGAAGGATTTCAAGATGTTTATGTGGAATGTAGGCGCGATGATTTTGCGGTGCGACCTCCACTTTTCACCTAAATTAATCGTACATGTATGTTAATTATTGTTATACATATACTATAAAGTAGTTTAGAAATTCATTGTAATTATTTTATAGAAATTAACCAAGTGTAAACTGACCTATATTTACTGACTGAAAATATGTTTGCGTAACTTCAATATGTTTCTTTGTAAATAAATTTATACCAAATAAATTCTAAATGATTTTTTAGAATTTTATTCGTTCTCATTTTCGTATAAATTATTGAGTTGGTAGTTGTTTTTTTAATTTTATTGGATTAAACACAGGACAATAAAATAAATAATTCAAAAATAGAATTTACCTGAGCTGATTAGAAGTCCCTCTCCAAGCCAAGGTTGGAAGAATCTATATTCGGAGGCCTTATCAATGTGAACTTGACTGTTGAGGATGACTTCCACATCGTCGGGATCAGTTAAGAATACAACTAACTTAGATCCTACCCAACCACGTATAACGGTGCCGTACACCTCAACGTAAGATAAAGCTAATCTCACCAATTCTGAAAAACCCAACCAAGCGTGAACCGATATTTTCGTATTGGATTACGTTCCAGTTTCAAAATACCGGAAAAATGGCCGTAACATTTCATAGTTTTGAAAATCGAACGTAAAACATAATTTTCAACAAATAATACTACTGAATAATAATACTGTTTATATTTAAAGCACATTTACAATTAATGGAGATTTTTTTTTTCTTTTCGCCCATGCCGCGGGCTATAGTCTTTCGACCATACCGCCTAGTCTTTCGTAGAATTTTTCCTTTAATTATATATTATGTTCATTTATGCCTTTCGTAAAACAGTATAGCATTAATGGAGATAAGGCACAACGTGTGGAAAGACAGGCAGTGAAGGCTACAAACAGATGACATGTCTTTTGACTTGTCATTTCAAACAGAAACGAATTAAACTGGACAATTCAGTGGTGAGATTCTGAAACGACACTATGAATCCACTCCTACGGAAGTCAGACTTAGCACTAAAGGTGGATTTTGAAGTGATTTTATCTGACATATTAGTCTATACAATAGACATACGTCAGAATTAAATAGTAATGGTCTATGGCTTACCTTCTGGTTTTTTACCAAGAGCCAAAAGGGCATTACCAAATACTGGCAATGCAATGGGCCCTGGTAATTTGTTTCCCAGTTTGTATATTCTTGTTTGCTGCTGCCATCTGTATAAGAGCCAGAGTCCAGTGGCAAGAAGAATTAAAGGATAGAAGATCAGTCTTGTCGACAGCTGATTCGTCTGGATGTCATCGACGACCGTCATTTTGCTGAAATAAATAAAAGCTTCAATTCAACTTTTTCGTATAAACGTATAAACAATTTAAAAAAACTTTCAAATATTTTAGATATTTGGTCAAAATATATTATGCTGGGTGTTTTTTTTTTGTTTTTTTTTGTATTGTTTATTACTGTATAAAACCTCAAGTTATATTTAGTATATTTATATATTTTAAATTTGGAATTAAATAAAAAAAGCTTATAAAGAGACATTTAAGGCGTATCCTCTAAAATCTTACTATTTCGTATCTCTATTATTAAATATTTATTAATTTAATACACCTTAATAAAGCAAAATTAAAATTAAAAAAGAAAACTGTATACTCTTATTTTTTAAATTAAAATTAAAATAGAAAATCACTAAACCACTTCACTTTCGTACCTGGTCCTCCAGACGGTATGGTTTAAAAGATAAATCCGTCTCACTTCACTAACTATTTTTATAGGTGAGTTAGGTTTGGCGTAATAATTTGCAAAGCAACTGTTTTTATAGAATGACCCTGCCCAGTGATGTATTGTATGTAAAGGGTAGGATACACTGTAGATTAATTACCATTTTGCGCGTTAGACTTGAGGTATTATTGAGTAGTTTATTAATCATATAAATTGTATTTTCTTTTTCATTTTGATCTTAAATTCTTTTTGAAATTGACTAAAAATAATTGTAAATAAGCAACCAATTGTAAATATTCATTTGATTTATGGGAACCTTATGGGCAATTTAAATGCGGTAAGGTATCAGCTTGATGATAAGGTGTATAAATACTAATTTATTTAGATTCATCAAAATAAAGACAAAACACATAGAAACTACGATTTTATGTATTTCTATATGTTTTGTCTTTATTTTGATTTATCGCGCATTTTCAGATTTATGTGCACATAACTATAATTTTGCGAGAAAACTTTGGTAAAATAGTTAAATACGGTTCAATATTTTGTATAGGTGTAGGTAAAGAATGATATGTAAATACAAAACTGTATGTGCTGGTTCAAGTGGAAATCTCTCTTTCTTAACCACAACAAAAATATGTTAAACTTAAATGATTGAAGACTTAGCAACAATTAGTCATGGTAAGCGACTCCTTTGTCGATTTTTTTCAATGTCATGAATTTATGAAGAATATTAACTTTTCATAATAGAAAAGTCGATATATTTATAATTATTAGATTATTAAACTCATTCATAAATAATCTCAATACATACACAATGTCAACAATTAATAAATTAAATTAAAATTATTATTATATACATTTCAGATGGGAACGTAGCTTTACCTCAATAAAATCAAACTCATATTCATTGACATTTCACCTGAAAAAATGTTCATTGTTTGCTAATTGATTAAATTATTATTCGCTACGATTAAAGGGTGAGCTATGATTAGGTATATTCAATTAATTAAGCGAATTGTATTTCAAATATGGGTCTGTTTAACCATCCAAATATTGTAAGCGTACAATATTAAAAACAGGTATATTTTGAATTTCGAACAATTTACTAACATCGTGCTATTAGTTTCAGCAAATTCGGTCAACTTATCATTTGCTAAGAGATTAGTGTAAGGCGGTAAAGTCTTACTGCAGGGTAGGAATAACAAGTATTAAATCTTTGATAATATTTGGAAGCGTTAATAAATAGAAGATTTACGATTCTTAATTTAAAAATGTCACGCTGTTTACTCCCACAGTGCAAAAGTAAATAAAGGGTATACGAAAGGCAAACCAATTTTAAGTTATAAACGATTTTTGAGATGTTTATCGGTCGCGATTTCGGTAAAACCGAAAGATGATTCTAGAAATACGACACATATAAAAATATTGTATCGAGTTATATTTCGGTGAAGTCAATGTTTTTAAAATCAATAGGTTTGCATTTTAAGTGTTTACATTTTATATTTTAATGTATGATTCTAGGCCAAATAGAATAATTTTGTTTGCGTTATAAAGTCACTCGATATAAAGTGCCGGCGTCAGAAACTCACAATGCTAGAAAATTCGATTGGCATATCTAATCTTTTTTGACCCTTATTTTCAGGGTATTTCATTCAGAGCTGAGGCTGCGCAAACTGTGGGTGATATTCGGCAACGTGAAAGCGCTAAGTGTGTCTGTCGTATGTCATAAACCTATTAGATTTTGACGTACTACATATAGTATAAGATCCCGCTATACAACGACCTTCACCGAGATGCTTATTTAATGAAACTTATTTTATATTTAATTTAATATGTCAATAAATATAATCCATATGGGTTGCCTAGCAAATTTCAGTCCAGAGTATGTTTAATTAATATTAAAAAAAATTTTTTTTTTATAATTGGCATGTAGTAAATTTTTTGAACTTTTTTCAATCAATATTTTTAATCAGGGTAGTATTATATATGTATCACTATAACCTTCTTTTATACTAAAGATGTATATATACTTTAGTGTCACATAAATAATTAATTGATTAAAAACAACCTAACGTTTGCATATTCTATGGGCTTCATACGTTCGATTGGTATAGAATTTATCTAATAATCATACCGGTGAAATGTTTAAAAAAATATTTTTTTTTTAAATTAATTAAACATACTCTGGACTAAAATTTGCTAGGCAACCCATATGGATTATATTTATTGACATATTAAATTATATATAAAATAAGTTTCATTAAATAAGCATCTCGGTGAAGGTCGTTGTATAGCGGGATCTTAGACCAATAGTGTTAAGTTTAGTTTCAGAATCTTGCCATATGACTCACGTTACGACGTCACGTTCCTTGGCTACTTTCTCCACTATTTCGCAGATATTATATTGGCAAATATAAGAGTATTATACGTTTTTGTTAACAACTTTTTGTATTGAATGCGAGATAAGAACGTCTCTTAATAAACATTCTTTTGATTTGTTAATAACATGCCTTAAAATACTAAATTGTTTATAAACCGACATCAAGACAGAATACGAAGAACTTTTTTTCTGACGAAATTTCGAAGTTGGTTTTGTGAATTTCTTATACGAGTCGTCAGCACGTGAATAAAGTAATACATATTAAGTAAAAGGTCATCGGCACGGTTCATGTTTACAAGGACTTCGTTAAACGTACTACGTCGTTGTGGGTTGACAATGTTTATGAAATAAAATTGGAATATTGGTGATCATATTCATGTTTAGAGTGGCCTTTGTTTTTTTTGTTCTATGCCCTTTGTCATAACAAAGGGCAAACAAGCTCTTCTTATGTTAAGAGATACCGCCACCAATGGAGTGTCCATTGGTGGTGGACGCAACGCACTCTTAATGTTAGAGGGCTTGCGAGTGCGTTTAAGAATTGGTACGCTCTTTTCTTACACCCTAAGTCGACATAGTGGTGGTGCGCGAATCACGGCTGAACACCATTGGAGGTGTTTCTACATGCGTAACTTAAAATAAACTAGGGCTAATCGCCTACTATGAAATAAAAAAGATAAAAGAATCGGTTGCAATCTGAGGCCAAGGCCCTGCTTATTATACACAAGATTTTAGCACTAAAAAACAAATCGAGCTCAATTTCCTCAGTTTGTGCAACGTTTAAAAGGCTGGGAAGTGTTTTCTTATTTTAAGTACATCAAGTATATAAATAAAGATCAGCCTTTTGGCGCGTGTATGATGTGATTATAAAAATAAGTACTACGATAAAACTTGTTTGACTTAATATATCTATTTCTGAAAAAACTTGTTTTAATTGGCAAAACAAACGATAATTATGATGCAAGAAGAACATTTTATTTGCTGGCAGTTTAATATTTATTTATTCACACTTATTGCACAGGATTAAATTATAACAATAAACTTGAAAAAAACATGGTTCCACAGCGATCTTTTCCAGGCAATAATAGTGTATTGACGTTTAGTAGGATTTTTCTTTATTAAAGCTATAATAGCTAAAAGTAATGTTGTTCTAAAGGATTGAGCGTGCACCCCTCAAACCTGAGGTCGTGCATTCGTATCACAGCTGAGCACCAATGGATTTTCCCATATATGTGCTTTTTAAGGACCTATCCGGTCGCCAAACTCCAAAAAAGTACATGTACTTGTTTCTTTCTATTTTTCGTCATCGTTTCTTGAAGTAGGGTGAATGGAAAAAAATATATGGTGGAGTTGAGTAGTTGTATTCATTTCGAAAGATCGATACACGATTTAAATAACTTCGCTCGATAGAAAAAAAATCCAAATATAGCCAATTTTTGACACTTTGAATTGATTTTATGACGAAAATGTACGTAGAAGATGATTTTGAAATTTACACGATATATTTTATCGCAAGCCAAGTAATCCATTTCAGAAAAACAAATTGATGAAATTACATTAATTTAATGTTTTACATAACTAATTGTTATTACGGGCCGGCGCGCCTCAGTGCTCCAGTTCTCCACTGCGCACCGCAGTCCACCCCGAGACACTGACACAGTGCTGGGATAGGGCCTTTAACACTCGGTCTTATCGTAAGGAGACCAGCATGTCTTAGATATGAGGCAACGGCGTGTCAGGCACAGGCTGATAACATTAAGCCTGTTAAGAAAATTCAATTATCACGAAACAGATACAGAAATCTGAGGCCCTGACATAAAGTTTGTAGCGCCACTGGCTTTTTTAAGTAGCAGTAAAACAGGTTCATATCATCATACGATCCTTACACGTTTAGGACCCATTGTTTGTTCAAACTCAAACGTGTTATTGTTTTTATATAATTGTTTAATATTGGGTATAAGTTTTAAATTTAAAGTAGTTAAATAGGTATTTAATTGCCTGATAATGATACAAACAAATAAATGATACATTTCAAATTACACTGTCACTATTACGCATAGAGCAGTTGTTTTTCTATTAGTCATAACTGCTTCGTTATTATTTAAATAACTAGTAATGCAAATTATATTTTCGCATGCAACCTTCATGAATCACAAGGGATTATACCAAGTCATACAAGTATCTAAACAAGGCACTTGTATAAGATTCAGAGTCGAGACTTAGCGTTTATGTCAATTGTGATACGTTTTTGACATTCTTACTCGCAATCTGAGAATCCGATGACCTAAAGGGAGATTTCTCGAGCAGTCTTAGTACTGGCCCGAAGGCACCAGTGGTCGAGACGGTCTCTTTACAATGGAAGAAATATCAAATGAATCGTTCAGATACGATTGAGAAACGTATAGATTAATGCCTTTAGGAGACAATAATTAAACCTGTTTACATACTCACATAGTTACAAAGAGCACCACACAACGACTCGAGGTATTCGTGAACCTTTACCTTCTCAAATCCATGGAATGTTCTGACCCGAGAGAATCTCTAACCATCAGCTATGGAAGTTGTGCAATGAGGTAGTGACTAGAAAACGTGGAAGTGAAAATTGGTTGGCCATACGCTCCAGAGGGATCCAAGTCACATTTCCAAACAAGCCCACACACACACGCACACACATTGTAAGATTCAGAATGGAGACTTTGAGCAAAGACTTGTTTATGTCAAATCCAATACATTTTTGACATACGGCAGTCATACTTACTCGGAATCTGAGCGTTTGCGGAGGAAGGAAGGTGCTGCTCTTTCGCTGACCTAAGGGGAGAATCCTTGAGTAGTCTAACAGTGGTAGAAATTCGCAGTATTTGTAGTCTGGGATTTCTACTGGTTAAAACCATACTCAAAAACTTTCACTACAACGGAAAGAACTACCCATTTCTTCAACCAACCTAACATAAACTATTCCAACTTAGTCAGTGATTCAAATTAATTAATTAATTTTTATTTATCATTTACACTTCTGAGGCAAGGAAAGATTGAAGATGATGGAATTAGAGATGGCCGCTAATTAATGTGTAACCAGTTTAACTTACCGAACGTATTTGTATTGTAGTTATAGTCACTTATGCTGAATATGAAACGGGTACAGAAATTTTGGAGACGATCCAATTTATTAAGGAATTCTTGTCCAGCAGGCAATTTCAATCAGACGAGCGAGAACAGCGTCGTCTACTAATGGCAGAAGGATAGCTGTGCCAGTGAGGTTTTAGTGCTAATGGGAAGAAAATTACTAAGACGTCGATGTATGCTGGAGGCACCGTGCAATTTGCGGCTAACTTGTTTAATATGCTGCTCCAAGAATAAATTTTAATCAATTAATGAATACTATTTTAAGAAATAGAGCAGTGTTGGCCTATAGGCTTCAGCGTGCGACTCTCATACCTGAGGTCGTAAGTTCTATCCCCGGCTGTGCACCAATGGACTTTCTTTCTATGTGCGCATTTAACATTTGCTCGAACGGTGAAGGAAAACATCGTGAGGAAACCGACATGTCTCAACCCAAAAAGTCCACGGCGTGTGTCAGGCAGTGGAGGCTGATCACCTACTTGCCTATTAGACTTAAAAATGAACATGAAACAAATTTAAAAATCTGAGAATTATTTTAAGAAATAAAATTTAATGTTCATGTTTATTCGGTTCCAAAGCTCAAAAACATTCATTGCTTTATAGTTTACTGATCCTTGTTTAATTGGCCAACAAATTAAGACAGAATTTCATACTTTTCATATAGGCTGTGAAATGGCAAGCCTTACGGGAGGTTGCGGTAACACAACTCGTTTCAATTTCCTAGGTATTTAATAGGATATAAAGGAATAAACATAAGATTTATAATTATGGGTATTCACAAAGTCGAGAACATTTAGATAATTACTTGGACATTCCAAACACCTATTTTTAACAGAACCAAAAATACTTTAAAGTTAACGGTAACTTGCCCTACGAAGAATGTAGTTTGACTGCACAAAGAAATGGAGCACGCGAACTCTCTGACATTCGTCTACTATAAAAATATAATTATTATAATAATTACTTTATTTTATTATTATTATTAAAGCTTTATTAATCCATACAACAATTGGTTAGTTTACATTCCTTGATATTAGTATTAGTTAAGTTAGTATGAGTTTCAAACAAAATTTAAGTTAGATTTATTTTTAATTTTTTATGTCTAGTTTTTGTATGGCCCCATTTAGGGTAAAAGCCTCCTCCATATTTTTCCATTTCTCTTTGTCTTGTGCAACATTCATCCAGTTTTCCCCCGCTAGTTCTGCAATGTCATCTGATAAAAAAAATCAAATTACTTTATTTTACCTAATAAAAACATTTACAGACTTTAAATTGTGTTGTTTTCTCTATTTTCAATCCTTCAATATTGCCATTAATCTTTATTTATATTACACTTATGCCTTAAAGAGACAAAAAATAAACCTTTTTGTCCATACATACTTCAATACATTTAAATTTTAATATATTGGGAATAAGAATTATCGGCTCGTAATATCATTTTAATAAGGAAACATGATTATAGATACAAATATTTGATTATATAATAATAGCATTTAATATACAATAACAAAAATGTAAAAAACTCGATGAATGTTGCTCAAGACAAAGAGAAATGGATAAATTTGGAGGAGGCTTTTACCATAAAAAAAACTAGACCACAAAAAAAGAAATCTAACTTTATATTTTTAGAACTTATACTAAAAATAACCTTAACCTTACCTTTTTTTTGACACAACTAAAACTCATATTAAGAAATGTAAACTAACCAATTATTGTCTGGATTAATTAATAAAGCTTTAATTTGTTATAATAATATTGGGATAAGAAATACTGTATTCTGGCTCGTAAAACTATTTTAATAAGGGAACATGATTATAGGTACAACAATATAATTGAATTATATTAAAAATAATTAAATTGGTCCTTTCTCCGTACCGGTATAATAGAACTGACTTACTGCACCAACAAACCATAAAAAATATGATTATAATAATACAACATTCAAAGCAACATAAGGAGGAAGATAGAGACAATAAAGAAGACACTATGTCATAAATAAATATATACATATAACATATAATAATATACTTTAATATTCTAAGGCTTGTTAGTTTTATTTAAGGGATATATTTATTTGTTTTTTACTTCTTGTATAAATACTAAGATTCTAAAAATCAGTGGTATAAAGCGTTCGAATCTTACAAAAATGCGTTCGTACCAGGACTCAGCACCAAAGGGTGCAATTAACAATTTCTCTAAAGGAAAACATCAAAGAGACCAACATATCTCACTCAGAAATAAGATTTATTGCATCAAGTACACATAAAAAACACATTAAAAATTTTATTAAAAATTTTAATGGTTTAGCGCCACTAATAAATTAAGTTCTACAAAATTCGGTGCCAAAGCTAGCAAGATATAACAGCAGTACAAATCAAGTGACGCACGAATGAAAGACTAATTTTAATAGTTATTGTATAGTACTTGTAGATAAAATTAAAGTACTTTATCGTTTTACATTCAAAATCACCTCATTAACATATTGAAAATTGGCGAAATAACACGATTTATCGTTTCGTGCGCATAAAAGTAATATTACTTCTACTGTGTTTAACTGAGGACTAAGGATTTCTTTCTTTGACAGTAATAAAATGATAAGATAAATTGTCAGTGATTGTGGAGTAAAGAATTGCGCTGGTTCAGTGTTCTTCCATGTTCGAATCAAGATGGACCACGGAACGGCTGAGTTGGAAAAGATAAATATAAGTGACGAAAATGAAGTGAAATCTCTAAAGGATGTGGACTCTAATCGACCATTTCGGAGACAGGTGTGTGACTTAGACTTTAGTTTTGCATCTTTTGTAGCTGTGGTAGATGAATGCTAATTTCCATAAATGATTTAAACTATATTGTAAGAATATATTATCTTTATTAGACATGATAATTATTTAAGCCGTTTTATGTTCGGGCTAAGCCAAAACAATTATAATCCTTATACAATAAAAAATCAGAATAAGCTTAAATAAATTTGATAAAAGTTCTTTAAGTTCCATAACTATATTACGTAATATTATACCTAACACGGGGAAGACACAACTCCGCGATTGTTTAATAGATTCCGTGTAGACAGAGTTCACCGGGTGTACAGCCTTGTTTCCTCACTATGTTTATTTACCAATAAATTTCCTTAAAGGAGCAAATCCATTGGTACAGCCGGGGCTAAAATCCACGAACTCAGGGTTACAATTCTCATTCTTAACGAACTAAATAACGATTTAGTCTTAGAGAACGCTCTAAGACTTTAGAGAACGATGAATAATATTATAATGATTCAAATAGGAGGACTTACATAACATTTTCCAACGACAATGCAAATAACTTTTAATCACTTTATTTATCTTTGATTTTACAAAACATTGTACTGAGTGAGATGTTATAAAATATCGACGATGACCAATGTTAACTTTTTTTATCTACAAAGTACTAACGAGGTTGTCTGATATCCGATATACCCCTAGAGTCGATACACGTTGGAGGCCATTGATTCATCCAAACCATTTTGAATTTGGAACACTGTGGTTAAGTAACAGACAGAGTACAATAATATAAAATACTTTATCTACTAGACAATATCATTAGTTTGATTCACGCAGGTGTTGAATTGGCCTTATGTTAAATGTCGTGTGGTTGCCCTGCAGACTTCTCGTCAAGTTCCACATCTTTGGCGGATGTCTGCCGGAGCGCATATCCTCTTCAAAGAAAGGTTGTTAGCAATTCGCAATCGAAGAAGTGATTCCAACCTCCAACCCCGGCTGTTCATGTTCTACGAACGCTAACACCTGCTTGTGATTACAAGCTAAGCTAAGCTAGTAAAACTTAATGTTTATTTCAAATAATTCTCAATTCTGCTAAATTTATAATAATTTCCAATTAAAATGTCAATAGTTTCTTAAATACTTATTGACCTACATGGTGTGTTTCGTCATTGAATTTATTATTCTCTAGCTATATTACACAATGATAGGGCCTAGTTTGTGTTACGAAATAATAAGTATCTTCTTGCGTTCTACGTTGTGTCGTTAAGAGCAGTTTATGTCATCCCAAAGTAATAACCAAATGTGCATTTTAACATTAGATAATATAGGCTTCGCATTGAAGGGAATAAAATAAAATAAGTATATTAAAACGCTCGATTAATCCAAATGTAAGCTCCTTAGATTATCTCTGTAAATATGTAGATTTATAAATATAAATGCTGAATTATTATTTATTTAGGCAAGCAAGATCACATATAATTTAAGACACAGTAAGAAATTCCTTCTTCTCGAATGGAAGTTCTTCCATTTTTGTTATTAGCATTTTTATTTATCAAAGCATTAACAAAGCAATAATCTCTAACCTACATCCACGTAACTTTTGAAGTTATACTTCTTTCGGCGCGTTATGAAAAATTGATGAGAGTGAAATTTTACGATGCGCGCGCACCGTGACACAAAATTAACAGAATGAAGTTGCCCACGGAAGATGCTACGGCATTGGACATAGTTTAAAAACAACATTCCAATAATAATAATAGAATTTATGTTACACTTAATGTAAGAAGAATAATAATAAATATTTATTTATTTAATTTTTTAAATGTAAACTGAACTTTATTGACTATAATGACTCCTTTTTCAGTCTTTGATTATTTAATTGTAATTAATTATTTGCATGCAATCAAAAACTATTTTTAATAATGCCAAAGAAGTATAACTTCTTACGCGCGTACATAAGTACACGCACCCTTTTTTTTGTATGGGATGCGCGAACCAGAGAGAACTAAAATGAGTTTTCGCTTATATGCGGTGAGCGAGACGCAGACGCCGGCAAGATGCAGTCGTATTCGATATTACGATATTCCTGCAATACTTAGTCCTGGAAACGTCTGGTTTATTATATCTTCTTCATTGTTCAGGAACAGAACTTCATTCTTCATTGGTCAGAGTAAACTTCTTGTTAAATTACTTTTAAACGATAAGAATGATTGAATCGAATCAATCGAATCAATTGAATTGAAGAAACAGGTTTTATTGCAAGTAAATAAAATAGCATTTTAATGGGTTTTAGTGAAGAAATTGATAGTAAAAATAAAGATTTGAGTTTGTTAAGTTACCTTAATTCTAATAAGTTTCGAATTTATTTATAGAAGGGATATTTTGTTAGATAGACATAAAGCAGCTAACGGAATGAAAAATAACTTATTTTAGTGTAAATATAATATATAAACGTATTTGTACAGTTAATAAACAATTAGAATTAGGCACACATGAGAATTTAAATAGTCGGTCTAGATTATAAATAAGGTTTATCTCTGCCAGGATAGGGCCTCCTATTTCACCTCAAACCAAGAATTTTCTAACAAGTATTTGACGCAATTGTTAAGGTGTACTTAATAAAAAAACTTAATGCTTTGTGTGTAGCTTTCGATAGTGTTAGGTATCGTTATGTTAAACACAAGTCAGAGAAGGTTTGCACAACATTTGCTCTAATTTAACACGAATAGTATTGAAGCAATTTTAGCCGAGGACAGCCCTGCGATTCTGTAACTCACTTTTGAATGTCAAATGATAAAATGACTGCTTCACGACTCATTTAAGAGCGACCGCCGATGCGAAAACCGCTGTGTGAGTTCGAAAAGTGAGTTACAGAATCGCAGGACTGTGCTACAAATTCATCGAACTAATAAACTAAAGCCTAAAATTAATAACTAAAAATGTTTGTGCTAAATTATAAAAACCCAATCACTTATTGCACTTATACGATGTATATACGATCGGATAAAAAGACAATTTCTTAAAACAGTTTAATTTTTGAGCAGCAACTTTAGAAATAAGGATGGGAAATTAACTTGCCTTCGTTTTGTAATTTTATCAAATTACTAGCTAACCCGACAAACGTTTTTTTGCCATGTATATTATTTCTAAGACACATTGTTTTAGTTTAATAAAAATAACTGCTATAATAAAAAATAGGGGTTGATCGTAGAGGGTGAAAAGCAGGATTGGATGTATTTTTGTATGTTGTCATAAAAAAATAAAAACAAAAAAAAATTGTACAAAAATTAAAAAAAAACATGTTTGGAGAGGACACCCCTTATCACTTAAGGGTTTGAAAGATACATAGTAGCAGATTCTCAGACTTACTGAATATTAATTAACAAGAATCGGTCGAGACGTTTCGGAGGAGTATGGGAACGAACATTGTGACACGAGAATTTTAAATATATATAAGACAAAAGTTTGTATTTCAATTGCAAGAGGCTAAATAAAACTTCTATTTGTTTCTCTGTAAGTAAAGAATGCAATTTTATTTATCGAGTAGGTTACACACTGATACAATCCTTACAAGACTAACACAATCTCACCTGTAAGTAAAGAAACGACAATAAAAGTTTATTGTTATCACCTCTCGATGCATATAGCTTAACTAAGTATGAAATTAATTAACAAATAAGATTAAAATACAATTCAACGATCTCAGCATATTTGTCCTTTACATCTTTGACAATGGCAGCTAGCTTGACGTGATACGACGCGGCTCACTCACGAACTAGCAGTGCGCGCGAATATTCAAATTAAAGAGATCATTCTCTTTACATATATATATAGAGATATTTAGTATTAACAATAATACGTCTTTTGTTTTCCATTTAAACGTATATCAAAAGTCATTAAGTTGACAACTACAACCGGTCGACATTGTTTACATTCTGTTTGCTAATAAATGCGCAGTATCACGTGTATATTTAATAATAGTAATAAAACGAGATTTATATAGTACATTAACCTTTTGCATTTAATATTTATAATAAAATAATATATCTGTAACAGGTTTCTAAAGCGCCTACGCCGTTTCACGAACCCTTTAGATGACCTGTGGGTAACACTGTTTGAGTATTTCAAAGCTTATAAAAATTCTAATGAATATGTCATGTTTTAAAAGGATTAATGTAAATCAAAAGTGCATATTACTTAGTGTTTTAGTTATAGTAACTTAAATACTGTTTATTGGTATTAGCTATCATCATTTCATATGAACATGCGTTCTCTTGCAACATTTTAAATCTGGAATTTTCCAGTGTTTATTAAGTGAAATGAACCCTATTGACTTGTTGGTCTATAATTCGTACAATTTACGAACATAGACTTCTTGTCTACGGCAATATTTTCCGCATTTGCAATTCAAATTAAACTTTTACTTTTAATGGGATTCCGGAAAGATTAAGCTGTCAGACTCGTGTAGCGGCAATTGACTCATAATATTGTAAATATATTTAAATATGATTTTAATCTAATTTTAGAAAAAATACTATTTATAAGATATTCGTTGTACAGCTTGTCAGCCTGTGGACTGCCGGTAGCTTTGAAACAGTCCCACTACGTGTAATCTTTGATCCTACCCCTAGGACCTTGCCTTAGGTATCTAGATCCAATTATAAATAAGGCTACAACCATGTTATTTATTTCGTAACATACAGCTAACATAACTTATATATATAAAAAAAAAAAAAAAAGGGTGCGTGTACTTATGTACGCGCGTAAGAAGTTATACTTCTTTGGCATTATTAAAAATAGTTTTTGATTGCATGCAAATAATTAATTACAATTAAATAATCAAAGACTGGAAAAGGAGTCATTAAAGTCAATAAAGTTCAGTTTACATTTGAAAAATTAATTAAATAAATATTTATTATTATTCTCTTACATTAAACAAATAAAACACTATTTATCTTTAAAACATTTTTATTTCATTATACTATTTATTTTTAAGTGACTCTAATGTCTTCATCAGAATTTCGGTTTGTAATTTTAAATTAATCATTACTTGGTTGTGCATCTACGAGGCTTCTCCAAAACTACTTGCTTTCTGCAACAAATAAGAGAATATTAATTTAAGCTCTGTCCATGCAAAACTTAAAATTTTTTATAATTCATATTATAAATTTTTTAACACATTTATATTAATATAATTATATAAATGTGTTAATAATATAATTTGTAGCACATGCTACAGACCTGGATAGCAACTTTCTTTTATTCTATTTAGAGATAGAGATAATTTAAATATAATACCGGTGTCTTCCTTGTAGGTTTCTTTGGAGTTGTTTGGGGATTCTTGTTGTTCAGTTCGACATGATTTTCTTTAACCTTTCTTTAATCCTACAAAATAATGAAATTGTTAAGTTATGTTGTCACTGTTGTGCACACCTTTGTTTGGCTTTTTTAGTATTCAAGTTATGTCAAAACTGATTTATTACCTTGTCATTGTTGGCTTTATTTGCTTTTGGGATATCAATTGTTTCCAAAATGATTTTATTTGTAATAACCTGAAATATATAAATAACATCTATTAATTTAAGTATCATGGTGAGTGGTTCGCACTCAGGTATTAAGGTGTATTATACCCACTGTCCATTATAAGTGGGAATGGGCTCACTTCTGGCTCAATATTTAAGTTCAAAAATAAAAAATAGCATGGATAAAGTAAAAGCTACCTGGAAAATAATAAATGAAGAATCAGGTAAAACGTCTGACAAACGAACTGATTATATGTTAAAAGTTAAAGGGAAGTTAATAAAATCTGACCCAGAGGTAGCTTCTTCTTTTGAAGAGTTCTTTACAAATGTACCACTAAATACGACCAAGTCCCTAGATTCTTCACCCGCTGCTGCGATCTCATTGCTAGAAAAATGTGTACCTGAATGTAATATTAAATTTCAGTTTAAACATATAACTTGTAATGATATCGTTAAAACTTTTAAGCTTATTAATTTAAAAAGAAGTAAAGATATATGGGGTATGTCAACAGTCATTTTAAATTCCGTTATTAATGTAATAAGCTCTGAATTGTCTATAATTTTTAACAGATGTATCGATTGTGGAGTCTTTCCGGACGAAATGAAATTAAGTAAGATTACACCGTTGTTCAAGGCCGGTAGTGAGTCTGATCCGTCAAACTTCAGACCTGTTTCCGTGCTCCCTGCGTTGAGCAAAGTTTTTGAAAAGATAATGCTAGACCAGCTTTCTTTACATTTTAATAAAAATAAACTCTTACATAATAAACAGTATGGTTTCACTAAGGGTCGCTCCACAATCGATGCCGGTGTGAAGTTGATTTCGGACATATTTAACGCCTGGGAAGAATCATATGATGGAGTCGGCGTCTTTTGTGACCTGTCAAAGGCCTTTGACTGTGTTCATCCTGATATACTCGTTGGAAAGCTTCAACACTATGGCGTTGATGGCAAAGCTTCCAGCCTGATGAATTCATATTTAAAGGGAAGGATCCAAAGAGTTCATGTCAATGGAGTCACCTCTCCGGGTTCGCAGGTATCAATGGGCGTCCCCCAAGGATCGATTCTCGGGCCTTTCTTATTTCTGATTTACATAAATGACCTCCCATTCTTTGTCAACGAAGTTCATGAGATGGTATTGTTTGCTGATGACACTTCACTTCTATTTAAAGTGAATAGGAATAACGTATTATTGGACGATGTAAACAATTCTATCTCTCGTATAGTTAACTGGTTTAATGTAAATAACTTATTGCTTAATGAGAATAAAACAAAATGTATTAGATTTACAACTACTAGCGTAAAGCGAGATATTGGTAACCTGAAAATTAAGGACAGTGAACTAAACTTTGTTGACAAAACTGTTTTTCTAGGCATAACAATAGATAGTAAACTCCAATGGGGCCCACACATAGAGACTCTTTCGAATAGGCTGAGCTCTGCAGCATATGCAGTAAAGAAAATCCGACAGTTTACTGATGAGGACACGGCTAAAATTGTGTACCATAGCTACTTTCATAGCGTTATGTCGTACGGCATTTTACTGTGGGTGCTGCTGCAGAGGTTCAATCCATATTTGTGCTGCAGAAGCGGGCTGTTCGGGGTATTTGTTGTGTTTCTCCGAGGGAGTCGGTACGGAATAAGTTTAAGGAATTAAATATTATGACACTATCTGGTCAATATATTCTTGAAGCCTTGTTGTATGTCCAAAAAAATATAAACGATTTTAAAACAAATGGTGACTTTCACCAGTATAATACGCGAAATAGAACTAATTTGAGTGTACGACCAACCAGGCTCCAAAAGATAAACCACTCCTTATATGGAAATTGTATTCGTTTTTACAACAAGCTCCCAAGCGAAATTAGAGAATTATCACTAAATAAATTCAAAGCCCTCGTTAAACGAAAATTAATCAACAAAGCTTTTTATAAATTTGAGGACTACTTAAATGATCCTAATCCTTGGGATTGAATTGCTCCAGTTCAAACAATTTGTATGACAATACTTGGCGATTAAAAAGAGTGGCGGAAAGTTTCTTGCCAGTTCTTCTTACCCGCTCTACGCCCTTGACTTGCGAACTGGTAGTAAATGTAAATTTACGATTAATTTAACTTGACGATTCAAAAGTGTACTTGGTTACCTACTTGAATAAAGATATTTTGAGTTTGAGTTTGAGTTTGGCAGGACAGAGTTTCGGTACTACAAGTGCAACATGGATGTTTTGAGGTATTACAATATCTCTAACTATCCTGTAGGGGAATAAAGTAATGTTGTAAGCATATGCCTATGCTTGAAAGGTTGAACCTTGAACATCACCATACATCATATTTATAATTAACATTCCTACCTCGACACCATCACAATCAAATTCATTGAAATCTACTTCAAACCATTGTGTCTCGAGAAGGTGATGGTGGCTTTGTTCCACCTCCAGTTTTTGATGTTTCACGGCGATAAGATGACAACTCTTTTTTTGTATTCAATTTAGTGCACTTCCACTGATTCATCAATTGTTTTTTGTCTCTTGTCCTTATATTTGCTAGATTAAATCTGATGTTTTGATTAAATAATGTGGTCATTTTTTTGAGATGCAGGTACTTATTAAAATGTTTACTTCTCTGTTATATCGCTCCAAGCCTTCATTTTCTCCTTATTAGTATTCGTGCTTAAATCTTTGTTCTCAATTATTGATATATAGGGTCGTAGAATATTTCTAAAAAGTTGCTGTAACAAACGCAATAAACACAAGCAATGAATAATGGTTCATGTTTCAGTTTTAATCAACAATAATACTCGATAATACATACGGATAGTTAACCTCAATTGTATTGAAGCACTCAGGAAGGTTAGCACAGTTTTTTCACAAATATTTTATATTATTTCACAAATATTTTGTATAATGAAAATAACTAGGTATATAATTATTAATTTTAAACAATAATTAAAACTCCTATATTTGTTTAAAAGGTAAATGTCATTGTCAGATGTCAATTGTCATGGTCATTCAAAATTCTTGTTAAGCTGCTAAGCTAGAATATGCGTGAAGTTAGCTTCACGCATATTCTATTTCTTTTTACTTGTAGTTTGTCTTATTCCCATCTCGCTCGCGCACGCTATATCACACTGCCAATTTTGTGTCATAGGTGCGCGCGCAATCGTAAAATTTCACTCTCATCAATTTTTCATAACGCGCCTAAAGAAGTACAACTTCAAAAACAATTATACTAAAGATATAGCCAATGTTGGAATACATAATATATACGGAAAGTTTTATATTTACAAGAATATAAGTCAATAAAAATAATTAAATACATTGACCTATGTAACACCTAATTCGGCTGTATGTGTGAATTTGAAGGTGTGTATGTGGGGTGTGCTTATTATCATGCTCATATCTAGTCCAAGACTCTTTTCCACATATGAACTTAAATGCATACTAAAGCTCGTAAAATTAAATCTCATGTTGGAAATGAACCGAGTTGTTCACAGACTGTAGCTCCTACGCAAAATGATACTATTATGTAGTTCCAAACTGTCGTTTTAATAACCAAATTAAAAAATATTTAACTTTTAAATACAAAACAATAATTTTTGAAAGGCGCAGAAGTTTTTTGAAGGTGCTGTCAAAGAATGATGAGAGCAATAGACGATGACATTCTACTATGTATCAGTGCAGGTACTCTGTATGTCCCATTAGCGATAAAATTCGATCAGCGATCCTGATTTCCATGTTGATAATTTGTGCCGCAATCCCAAGGCTGCGACATCAGCATACAATCACGTCACAGTCGGTATCGCTGTTGGAAGTTACATAGTACCAGCGCTGGAGTGTTTAAAAAAAAGTGTAAAAGTGTACGCTGCATGCGTAGAAAGTACACATGTCAGAAGTAAAACTTGTTCATATTTATACAAATCTAAAACTTTAGATTTCACAATCTACAACACACTGTATACGTGCTAATGGTAATATAAATAAATAAAAATATGCGTTTAATACACAAATTGCCATCTAAATTTCTAAAATGTACCTACTAAACGAATACATTAACCAATAGTGTGTATTTTTCTCGATCTCCCTTACTCTCTCTCAATCTTTCTCACTATAGCTCTCTCCCACCTCTCGCTCCATCGCTATTTGCTTCATGCTACGTTCGCCCTTTCTCACTCTCTCTCAATCAGTCTCAATCGCTCTCTTCCTTTTCTTCGACAAAAACGCTGCACATCTTCGTGACGCTTATATTATTATTATTTATTATATTATTCATCCGTAAAAAAATTACCCTCATGCGCCTAAAGAAGTTTCACTTCAAACATATGTGATATTATGATTCTCATAAAAATTACGTTAGGTATAACTTGTCCAACGACAAAAACTCTTGAAACCTTAATGCTAAATTGTTTAGTAAATTGTGCTCTTTTATTAGGGCGAGTATATATAACCTATCAAAAGTGTTGCCATGGGCAACTCAAGACAGTGATAGCAACATTTTAATTAATTATTTTCACCATATAACATGAACATGACAAAATATTATTCATGTACATTGTAAGAATGTGAAATCTAATAAAAGATAAGAAATATTTTATCTTATTGAACTAGTATTAAATTACATAAATTTTACACAGTACAGTTTTCTAAACCTACATAGTAATAATATATAATAAATAAATATATTGTAACTATCTTAAACAATTTACAGTGTTACTCAGAGATATTAAAATTAACATCCAAGAGTTACGAACTCTCTAATGTTTCTTTATTATGACGTTTTTCTCGCCACGCCACGCTCAACGACGATGTTCACGCTCATCCGTCAATGTTGTGATGTGCCCACAGGCATCGAAAGAGACGATTGCAAGTCGGATGGGATGTCTCAAACGGTAAGAGGTAGGTAAGGTAAGGTATCAAACCTTAGAAGATGGGACGGGCTTTAGTATGGGATGCTACTTGTGTGGGCACGCTTGACCCGTCTCACTTCCTTCGGACAAGCAAAAAGCTGGGCCGGCCGCAGAGCCGGCAGAAAATATTAAACGGCAATAATATCTTTCAGGCCACTAGTTTAACGGTGCTTTTTAGTTAAAAGGCCAGGCTGTTAATTGAATGGCTGATTGGCTGTGACATATATATTTCATCATAAGCTACATGTCATAAATTTTACGGTCCACTGCATGGATTGTTCCTCACGATGTCCTACTTCAACGTAGATGTATATCCCAAATAGGAATAAAATTATAAACGGGCTTAGAATACACGACCATAACTTATAGAATCGGATGTTTAATCACCTAACACTGTTAGTAATAAAATATACTATTTATGTTTTCTAAAAAAATAATTTAACACTTAATATTAATTGCGACGATGACTTTTAATTATACTGATTTGATTGAAAACAATTTATTTACGATCACGGAAACTGGCACGTGCAGTTGTTGTGGTTTTGTATGAATTGTATCGTTCACTTATTAAAACCTATTACTAAGTTTATCTATTTATCAAGGTATATGATAATTAAACTATCAGTATCAGTTTTCAGTTAAACCGGTATTCTTAATTGCTTGGTCTAATTTCTAAATAGTTTCTAAATTAGTTTAAACATTATAGGTTAGTAGGTTTTTTATTATGAGTGAATGTCACCCAATTAACATGGAAATTAATTTTTCACTTTGTGAATAAATTGCCGTTGCCTTAAACATACATTATAAAACAAATTACTTAAGTTATTAGGCATAGGGCGCCTTATTTACAAGAGATTACTTCCTGGCAACACTAGAATGAAAAAAAACCTACTGAGGGTAAAGTATAAGAAGTGCATAAATAATTAACAAAAAAACAAAATTACACGTAACACTAGAAATATACTAACTAAAAAGAAACTAAAATCTAAAAAAAAAAATAAACTCAAAAAAAAACTTTTTTGGGTTTATTTTTTTGGGTTGCCAAATAACCCCAATTAGCTATTTAATGTTTTGACTATATTTTTTCAAATAAATACTAAAATCGTATCTTTCTATTAGAGGGCGCTAAAGTATTATAATAGACATTTTGACTTACAAAAAATAATGGTCTTTTTTGAATGGTATGTCTATGTCCACATAATTTATGTCGTATTTGAAGGTGTAATAAGTATGCTTATAACTTTCTATTTTTTATACACTAGCTTAATAAATAATAATATTAAATGTTTTACATACACATACACAAATTAATATAACCAGTTGTATACTTAGCGAGTAAATTTACAATTAAATTAATATGATGAAAGTATTACATTATTTAAAACAATAATATAACAAACATAATAAAAAAAACAATCATGACGGAATATAGTTTTGACAAAACTCATACAGTATCGCTAGTCCCCATAGTGGGTAAAAAGATAACAATTATATATGCACGTATAACATTTTTTTAAAGAAATAGTAATTTTAGTGTTACAACTAATCAAACACAAGGCCTGAAAGATATTAAGTATGCGTGAATGTATGAGTATGCGAATGGGTGCGTATTTATTTGAGTCTGTGTTAGTTTTTGGAATCAAAGAGTTATGTCAAAATACGTAGTAACAAATTCTTAATAATAGTTCGGATACAGTGACGTCAATGCATAATTATTTATTTGTAGCCTATGGCTAGTAATAATACTTTCATCATATATATTTATTACACATATACACAACCAAGGCACTGTTCACTGTTCATTTGTTTATAAGCAAGTCATTTGTTTAAAGCACGTCGATGAGTCTATAGGTCGACTACCAATTCAGGATTTTTATTACCGATTGAATAACATGATACACAACGGGTTAAGAATCTTATATTTTTATAAAGAAATGTTTTGTTAAGAATGTAATATATTATCATTAGCAATGCATTTGTTACTAGTATTATTCAGTACTACTTATTTCTGTTAACAATTTTTTGTATTATATTTACAGAAAATTTTAAGAATGAGTCTCTTAAACTTTTGTTCAACATTATTTATTTGAACTTGGTTTCTGTTATGTTCATTCCTATAATTTGTTCGATGTTGCCTTGTTGTTTACCTTTCGTAGCCATTTGGACAGTCAGTCAGAACATGTACCGCCGTCTTTTCAGCTGTATTGTTCCAAGGACAGACTGCATATTGTTAAGCTATATCTGTAAAGAGAGAGACAATCAACCATGACCTGTAAACATCGGTGTTACCAGTCACATTGGTTTTAATCTCAAATTTAAAACTAATATAACTCTACCGTTAATATTTTGAATATTGCGCATCATATATTGTACCTAGTGGTTTCGATGTGCGACTCTCATTCCTGGGGCCGTAGGTTCGATCACAGGCTGTACACCAATGGAGTTTCTGTACAATGTTTGTGCGATAGAACACTCGCTCGTACGATCAAGGAAAATATCGTGAGTAAACTGGGCGTGCCTTAGACCTGAAAGTCGACAGCGTGCGTTAGGCACAGAAGGTTGATCACGTACTCGCCTATTAGAAATTATCACGGAACATATACAGAAATCTAAGATTCAGACCTAAAAGGTGCAGCGCCATTGGTTACCGACTTTTCTTGTCATATCTACTAATTTAACGGTCATTAAAATCGCCTGAAATGTATATGTTGAATTTTCTATTCGTTGTAGAGTAAATATTGAAAATTAGAAACGTAGATTATGTGTAATAAATAAGTCGATTTTGACTCCCAATATCTTAATTCCAGGCCTTTGTTTCCATGGGGTCATTCCTCCTGTCATTTAGTGCTGGAGCAACAGCTGGGATCTCAGCCATCATTATACCGCAGCTGTTACATGAGGAAGGAAGACATAAATATAGTACAGAGATGATGTCCTGGGTAGGTATGTATTGTAGTAAACTGGCAATATTTTCTACTGAACATTGATTGCTTTATCTCTGAACTCTATTTACATGTTAACATATGCTATTATATTATCTCTTGTACAAGTACTACTCAAGGTAGTGGAAATGACAACATATATTATAAGGGCATTGGCCAGTGATAAATTTCTGAGTCGATAAAAACATATACATGTGACATTTTTAATTAATTTACTTAAAAATAAAATGTGAATAACACAAAAACCTTCTACTTTTCAGCGGCCATGTCTTCATTGGCTCTTCTCTTCGGTAACATGATATCCGGATACTTAATGGAACGTTTTGGCAGAAGAATGTCTCAAATCATACTCTCAATATTCTACATTAGTGGCTGGCTGATCATTGGATTCTCAACGAACATCTACTTCATGCTAGTTGGAAGATTTATTACAGGCTTTTGTCAAGGGTGGCTAGGCCCATTAGGACCTGTATTTATTGGAGAAATAAGTTCACCAGCCTACAGAGGTCTATTCTTGGCTGGCCTGTCCTTGAGCATTGCATCTGGCGTGTTCATGTCGCATTTGTTTGGAACTTTCCTTCACTGGAGTCACGCATCAATTCTGTGCGCGCTGTTTCCGTTGCTCGGATGTGTTACTCTATATTTTTCACCCGAATCGCCTTCCTGGCTTGCATCTAAAAACGATATCGACAAATGCAAGAAATCATTTTATTGGTACAGAGGAAATAGTTTAGTGATGCAAAACGAGCTGGACAAAATGTTAGCCGAATACGAAAAGAAAAAAGAAGTGAAACCCAAGTGGGAAACTTTGAAAGATAATATACAGAAACCAGAGTTTTGGAAACCTCTATGTATAATGATTGTATTCTTCATAGTCACCCAGTTGTCTGGTATCAATGTCATATGCGCGTACACAACAGACATAATGAAAGTGCTCATAGGAAATAATAAAAACACGTACACGGCTATGTTAGCAACTGATATTTTACGAGTAGTAGCCCTAATTACAGCTTGTATCCTCCTTCGTAGAATAGGACGCAGACCATTGGCTATATTTAGTGGTGTGTTTACAACACTATCTTTAATAACACTATCCATATATTTATATCTTGTTGAAAAGAGGATTATAAGGCATATATCACCGCTCATATCATTAGGATTAATGGCTATATACATAGTTGTATCTAATTTAGGTATATCACCTTTACCGTGGAACATGGTTGGCGAAGTATTTGCGTCAGAAACAAAAGGATTAGGTTCTGGTATTAGTGTGATGATGACTTCTATGGCCTTCTTTGGAACTGTAAAAACTGCGCCCGCCATGTTTCATAGTATAGGACATCATGGCACCTATTTGTTCTATGGCTTGTCTACTCTCTGTGGTACGGTCTTCTTATACTTCTTCCTTCCTGAAACCAGAGGTAAAACTCTATTACAAATAGCAGAACATTTTAGGTACGGAAATAAAGAAAAAAGTAAAGAATCTAATAATCACTGCGTATAATTAGGTTTAAAGAACCGCTTAATGTCAGTGTGATAAGATAACGAAAAGCAGGTCAATAGTCTTACGTAATAGGATTCAATTCATCAATGTGATAGTCCCAGTACATTGGGCTATAATGAATAATTGTTATCATAATTTAAATAATAAATTAGATAAGGAGTAATTTAGGGAGCGTTAGGTGTAACTTTGTCACACAAATTGTCTAAACTGCCAGTAATAATCATAACAATTGATGATAATAATCTACTTAACCTCATTAGATACTTTTCTCGTAGATTTCTTTGAGAACATTAAAAACTCAATACATAGATAACTTTAGGTAGCATGTAACGGCCGACTGTTTTCATATGGAAACAAATTGGGCGCAAAGTAACTCTTGTGGTCTCTGGTAGAATGACCAGCGCTGTGGAACATTCTGCTCCAATAATGCTGAGCCAGGACCAGTTACAACCACAGCACGCACACATTTTTTTCTGTCCATAATTTTTGTTATTTTTCTTTTTTTGATGATTATTTTGTGTTTCTATGTGTGTGTTATGTAGTAATAAAAGTTACGGTACGTTAGTAATTGGAAAAGTGCACGTTGTATCGCCCCAAGTGTTTACGGATGCACCGTTGCTAATAAAAACAGTAGACAATTTCACAGTCCGTTTAAGATGGACAAGTGGCACGCTTCTGTTTCAACAAGTTATGAATTTCTTCCTGTTGTGACACGTGGGTATGACCCGAGAGATTCGCATCTGCAAGGATTTTTTTCTGAAACGCGCCGTTTCCCACGTTACACGTTGGTACGCGACCTGTTTTTGTGCACCACAAAAAGTGAGGGTAACATCTGGAGGTGTGGTTATTTTTGGAGTACCATTTGAGGACGAGGAAGTAAGAATTATACCCAGCCGTATATCAGTTAATATTTACTAAGTAATTAATGCTTCATCTGTACTTGATCTTATCATTAAGATTCTGTCATTTCATCAACGAGCAAACAGATAGTAGAATTATAAAAATATATTAGTATTAATAGATTCAAAATAAGAACAAAATATACAGATTCAATGATATCTAATTACACTGTTTGCACAGACTATTAATCCGTACACAACACAATAAAGAAAAGATAAAAGAATAGAAATAACAACAATGACCGATAAACAGAAGTAATTTGACAAATAACACACAAATCTATACTTTTTGATTAGTCATAAACTACGCCAAAAGACTCTTAAAGTTGCCTGTGTTGGCACTGATAGGCTTTTAAATAGTTCCAATAGAAATTAGAGTAATTTTCATATCAAGCAGTTCCGGTGCGTTCATTTGTTTATTGTTATGTGAACCACTTGCATATCATATCAGTGTATGGGTCAAAATGAATATTGAAGACACGTGTCGGAAATGCTGCACGTGGTTTCAATTAGATTGAAAAAAACTTTGTCTAGAATAAAAAGCCTCACCCCTAAGTGGGTGGAGTCGTTAATAAAGGTCTTATCATAGAATGTATATTTTGACCTCTGTACACGAAACATTGTATGATTTTATTACCGTCTTAAGTAGTCAATTTAATGCCGTGATATTCAAATGTTTGAGATTTTGATAATGCGTTAATTGAAATTTAATTGTAGATCAATAAATTATTCTAGTAGTAATAGTCAATTAGCTGTTCGCTTGAGATTTTTATACTAATCATAGTCTTCTATCTTTATCTAGTCTATAAATTAACACATATAAAATGTACGAAATTTATAAGATTTTTATTTCATCTTTTCTAAGTGGTAACTAAGGGGCCTCATAGCCTAGCGGTCTTATTAAGTGGCAGCTAGGTGAGGGGTACCGGGTTCGAGCTCCGGTTCGAGGGCAAGTTTTAATTTAATTTAAAATTTGTTCTCGGCCTTTGGGAGGGTTGTGCGGTACCGGGCGAGTGCTTAAACCGTACATGGAGGACATGGTCGAATTTCTAAAGACAAGCACGAATTATAAAAAAATCCTATACTTGACGCTGGCTAATGCACAAATCGTGCCAGAGCCATTAAAAAAAAGTGGTAACTAAGCTAGCATTGGTGTTAAAAAAATATTACGGGACTTTTGGTACACAAGAAACGGATTTCAAAGTTCACTCTGTCGTCTCTGAACAGTTTTGAATGGTAATATGTTTATAGAAATGACAGAACTAGAACTTGAGTTCAGTCCGCAATATTTTTCAAATACTTTACAATATTACAAAAACATAAATTATTAAACAATTTCATATGCAAGTGATTTAACATTTCCTAGATAACCGGAATCATGCTTAAGCAGTGCACACTGCACGTGTTCCGTTTCCTGACGACAGATGTGCCACGCAAAATCAAATATCATTATGTACATACATAATTGTGTACTTAATTTTTGAATTTAAATTTCGAACAGTAAAAAGAATATATTATAGAATGTAAACCTTGTTAATTTAGTATTGAGTTAAATACTTTATAGTATCTATGCTTATTTAATTTTCTAATTTAAATTTCGAACAGTGCTGCAGATAATAAAAAGGACAACAGTTAATACAGAGTACAGATGAGTACAGAGAAAAACCTAATGGTGTGCTTGATTTACTAATTTAAATTTGGAACAGTTCTAGAGAATAAATAGGACTTATTGTATTATTTAATTTTGGGATTTCAATTTCGGACAGTATTGCAGAGAATGTATAGGGCACATCACAAGTCTATCTTAAATCAAACTTTTTACTTTAAACATAGACAATAAACACATAGAGACATGTGTCTATAGTTAGTTAAGTAACACTGACTTTGCAACAATTTTTTATTATAAACTAATTTATTTTTAATTAAATGAACATATGCCTAGCTGCATCCAGGTATAATCTCTACTACTTTTATTTCCTAAGCAATAAAATAATCATAAAAAAATCTAATATAGTTTTAAACATAACTAATAATATCAATGACTTCATTTGTAACTGTTACAATCGTATTACAATGAATATAAGAATATATTGACCTACGGGGGTCATGTATATTTTTTTTAAGAATGACGTAGGTGACGTCACCTCCGTGGCCTAGTTATTAAGGTGGAAGTTTGATTCCGGCAACCAAATAGTTATTTAGGGTCACAGAAGCCGAAATGGAACTTCTGTTCTCAGAATCAGAAATCTCCCTTTGGACTTCAAATTCGACGTATATAATATAACGAGAGTTGTGTTATCAGTTGAATGCGCGTCATTAAATTATGTACTAGTCAAACAAAATGATAAAATAAATGGACTGTGTTTCTTTGTGTATAAATGAGGTTAATTTATAGTAATAACTATGAAGGAGATTGAAAAGATTCATTCATGATAAAGAGAATATCGATGCATCAGTGCCATTGAACTAAATGTGTGGAGCCATGGCCGTCCGTAGAAGTCTGTTATAAGGCTCCGCTGTTATTGTAAGAAATACTCAGTATTGTAATTTCAAAAGCATCTCCTTGATGGCTGGAAGTCTTCCACAATCCGCTTCACAAGACACTTTCTTTTGCGAACTAGCAAATTGTTTCATCAACTCTTTGTGGAGGTCTTCCCTGAGAGATACGACCTTCAATTGTTCAAAGTAAGAATATACTCATCCCTCAAAGACCGGCAACGCACCCGCTAAAAAATTCCATGGGATGCGATGACTGCGCTTTTTGGGCGCCCCGTGGGCTCGTTTGCTCGTTAATTTCTATATAACAAAAATACTGTAATGGAAACATCGTGAGGAAACCGGCGTGCCTATCATACAAACCAACGTCAGGGACAAAAGGTTGATTGCATTAAAATTAATGAATTCAAAACAGAAACAAAAATCTGAGACCAGAACCTGGATGTAACTATATCATGTCCTATATTAGAATGTTAGTCATTGAACACCTTCGTAACTCCTCTTGCAAAGAGGTTCTTATGCTTCCATCTAATTGGTATGAGAGTTCTGTCTGAGCACACTGTATCCCTTGTGTTAATGGCCAGTATCAATAGGGATTGTTACTAAAAAAATATACAACAATAAACATCTCAATTATTTATCTTGCTAAGTCTTTCCTCCAACTTTCGATGTTGTTCCCTTTAGAGTAAAGAGTCTTGGGCCGTGGGGTTTAAGTGCACAGGCGCTAATTAAAGATTTAAGTTGGCGCCTTGTAGATAGTACCGGTGACCCAAGAGCTGGATTTTTCCTCGCTCTAATAAGTATCGCAATACAGCGAGGAAATGTTGTATTACACTGCCAAAGAGCCAAAGAGCCAAATTTTTTAAATTAGTTTTATTTTTCTATTTATTAATTTTAATTATTATTATTACTAAGGTTAAAAAAAATTTAAATACTGTATAAATGTGTGTTGGATATAAATATAAAATTACGTTTACATATAAGTTTACTATGTATTATGCAACTTTTTGTGAAGTTAGGTAAAAGTTCTCTCATTCCCATGAGTCTTGCTGTTACGACATCTGATTTTAATTAGTCTTTAAGCAAATGAAAATCATTCAAGTGTATACTGCTTTACGATTACCATACTAGATACGTTTTTAAGTGTTTCGCTAAATTTCCCAGAAATAATATTGTCTCTAAGCACTAAAGTTCAACCATAAATATCTTTGGTATGTGTGACAAGATTTTGGTACATTTTTATTTATAATCAAAGAATGTTTTTCAGATATTTTACGTACCCAAAAATGTTTCGTTTTACAATTAAATTACAAATCCATACCTTGTACTTACTTTTGAACATTAACAGGAATTTATAGATATCCCCCAATTCATATACACTCCACTATTGGTGATAAACGTGGAAAAATTGTGTGTTTATTTACGCAATACAAAAAAAGTTCCTTTGTTAGCTCATATATAAATTTGTAACGCGAGCCTAGATAAATCATAATCTTATATAAACAAAGCAATTATAGATGATACAGTTTTCGTAAACAGTAATAATCGTTGATCTCGTCAAACATGTCACAATATTGACAAATTAAGTGTTATTTAGAGTAGTTTGATCGAATAGGTTAGTGGTCGTTCGACTTGCTACGTCATTTGTATAATTACCAATTGTAATTACAGTTCAAACTCTACATTTAAATAAAAGCATATGCCACCGTGACTTTTGCTTGTTCTGGAGTTAATTTAGTTAGGTTTTTGTATGCCATATGGCGGCAGTATCACGAATACCGTATGGTACGAGAGCACTGTCGGGATTCGGCGCAATTTCACTGTCGAGCATCTCGAACAATCTGGCTTTGCGTCTGTTGCAATAAAAACAGTCCGTTTTTTGTGTTCCTCAACTTATGCTGAGTGTCCTTGGAGTTAGTGGGATAAGTGTTTTAAGGGTTAATATAACTTTTGAAGTAAAACTTCTTTAGGCGCATGAGGGTAAAATTTTTATGGAACGTTACGAATATGTGCAGCGTTTTTGTCGAAGAAAAGGGAGAGAGCGATTGAGACCGATTGCGAGAGAGTGAGAAGGGTGAATTACCTTATAGATATTCTATTTTTAAAATTAAAATTTCGAGAATTTATAAAATATGTATTGACATCTCAAATGACGAATTGTAAATTTAAATTCCACGTGTTTTTTATTATCGAAGAAATAAATTTATTATTTGTATTAATTTTCGTCACTTAATATTTTAATGACAATTAAATTCATGAAATTCCTAACACATCTCCCTTCTTTCCTCTTAGTCTCGGAAATCTAAAGTTTTAGATTTGTATAAATATGAAAAAAAAAAAATTTGCTTGCCAAAGAAGTTTCACTGCCGACATGTATCTTTGTACGCACGCCCTTTTTAAAAATTTATAATTGACGCATTTTTCACCTATGCTCGTTGGTAAAAGCGTTTTAAATACATAATTAACGCGCTTTATCCTAATAGTTCCTTCAAATTTTGTTTCTTCAAATATGGTTTCCATGACACGTGTTTTCAATGTCACGTCCCCATGTAACTGCTAATTCACTGGTGAATTTCCCTTCCGTGACCCAAAAGGAAGGGAAATAATTAGTTTGCCAAAGAAGTTTCACTTCTGACATGTGTACTTTGTACGCACGCACTTTTTTATTCCGAAGTAAGTAAAATGATTCGATGCGGTTCTGTCTCTAAAGGGAAAGATACAAACTTTATGACTTTTTTTGATGAAAGTTCTTAACGATAACAATGTTTGAGTTATACTTACATCGGATACTTTAGAATTTGATCTATTTTGTATGATTGTTGAAAGTTAAACATAACATAGTGTTAGTGCCAGCCATATTATTTCCTGTACATTTTGGACTGTCATCCCTAAGGTCGTAGGTTCGATCCCCGGGCGTGCACCAATGGACTGTCTATGTTCCCAAGTAAGCGAATCTCGAACGGTGAACGAAAACATCGTGAGGAAACCGGCTTGCCTTAGACACAAAAAGTCGACAGCGTGTGTCAGGCATAGGCGGCTGATCACCTACTTTCCTATTAGATTGACAAATGATCATGAAACAGATACAGAAATCTGTTGTGTAACCAGTGTATTTTTTTTTTTTAACAGAAACAAGCCAAAGTACTAAATAGGTATTACAATGAAGGCCTTTATTTTATAATAATGGGCATAAAAACCAGAGATTAGAAACCCGGTTCCAAATATAAACACAAGCAGCGTTGCATAAAACGTAAAGATTATAAACGTCATCCTAATCTGTGAACACGTGGATATCATACTTTGTGCGAGTTGAAATGTTTTGTTCGTTAGGTTCGGTAGTTTCAAAGGTAGGTCCATTTTTTGCCGGTTCCCATGAACCCTGCGACAATAGATGCGACCTCGCTGAAAGACTCTACGAAGATCCACGCAAGAATAAATATTACCTAACAATAGGGTAGCTAGCTTCTTTGACTTTTAGCTTCGTATAGAGCGCTCAATTATATTGATACTTAGTTTATAGTTACTAAACTTTTTCTTATGAGTATTGGAAGTTGTTCAATTATATCTCATTTATACAGCGATTAATAAATTGTAACAATAAAGTCAAAATCGCCGTGAAATTGGTACCTTCATAAAGAACATACAACGTTTTATTCTAATATATACACTGTACATTTATTATGATAATTTATACATGATATTATAACAAATTGAGTAACGAAACCTATTTTTTTTAATTTTAAATAAATTGCTTGAAGTATCAAAATTTTAGTTCCATAATACCCATGACAACAATAGAGTAGTGTCCCGTAACGGACTTTTTTTTAACGAGAATCAATCAGGATATTCTGAAGAGTCGTATTCCATGTATGCAAGTTAAATTTGTAGGTATTTTCCCACGAAATTTTTCTACTTATTATACTAGGTCTGGTGGGCTTGGCGTCTCCCGCCGGGCCCGGGCGACAACTATTCCGCAAATGTCCTCATGATATTTATAGGAGAGTTGGAGCCCGCTGGCCATCTGATATATTTGACAATTCTGTGGCAGAATTTTTCCAGCTGCAATCTGTGCTCGAGGACCATGTTAACGGGATACCCTCATCTCAAGCTCCAAATCGCACCTGGATCTTTCGAAAGTCGACCTACAAGTAAATGACCCATCGTTTGATCGGTTCTTTCACTCGTACCATTGGTTATTAATAACAGAGGTTAACTACTAAACTTTTTTTTTTTAAATATTTGGGCACATTTATTCTAAAAAGAACGGGAGTTATTAAGCGCAGAATATTTGTTAGTCTTATTCTTAAAATATAGTAAGCAACGAACGTATTTTAAGAATAAATTTGTAAGTATGAAATTTTTAAGTTTTATAAACATATCCTCGCTATTTAATATTTAAATAGTAATAGTGTGTATTTGATATGTATGGCAATGCAGAGAAAGACGTTAGTCCAAAATAAATTTATATATTGTGGATTCTTTATATTTATTGTGGACTAACTAACTAACTATAAATACGTTATTACTAAGGATTTCAAACTAAGCACTGATTTAAGTTAGCGCCTGGTAGATAGTACCGGTGACCCCAGCTGATGCTCGCATTACAGCGAGGAAATGCTGCCAGCATTAAAGGTACACTGCCATAGGGATCAAACTCTTTAAATTTATTTTAAATTTCTATTTATTAATTTTTAATTATTATTATTACTATGTAGGTTAACAAAATCGTAAATGCTGTATATAATATGTTTAGTACCTACTGATTTAGTACTTTAACTTCGTAATATCAGTTACAGTACAACAAAAGTATTATTAAATATAATATGCATAATTGATCAAATGCATCAACTGATAATAAAAAGTCGTATTACAGTTTTGTTTACAGATTGTATTAGTAGCTCAACCGTAGTTTTTGTGGATGGCTACCTCTAATTACAAGGAACAGCGCCTGACGAATGAAGCGGAAAATATTAAAATGGAAGCCAAAATAGCGTGCCGCGTGTTATCCCCGTGAAATATTACAAAAATGGAAAAAACTCCTTTCAAAATAAATTAAAATTCTTGCACCCGGAAGCTTGATGTTAGAAGGCAAGAAATACGATTTACTTTGAAATTGTTGACATACCTTGGAATTGCTATTTTTGCGTCATATTAGTTTAGAGGGCTTAAACGTGAATTTATTACATTATTTACTTAGTTTAGCGTCTCAAATGATTTACCGCTGTCGTAGTTGAAGCGATGGTCGCGTTTAAATTCAAGAAATTCGTTTTTAAAAAACTGTCTTAAATCCAAAATATTTTACTATTTAAAAATGTGAAACAAAATTTCTGTTCGTTATTTCACCAGGATATAAAACTCGTACGTGTTTATATTCTAATATAGTTAACGGTTGTTTATGAAAGGGTAAGCTAAATGAATTAAAAGAGATAAATTAATGTACGAAACGTACCTGAACCTTTAGATGAAACCAGAAACGGTTGCATATCTTCAAAACTCGATCCCGAAAATTGTAATTCGTTTGTTCGCTCCCTCGATTGGTATTTTTTATTAGGGGTAACAGCGCATTACAATCATAATAGCAACACCGCCGAACCGTTAACGGACTTAAAGGCGGGTTGCATGATTTTAATCAAGGTTTAGTGCTTTTTAAACGAAAGTTATGTCTGGGTTGAACGCTGTCGGATCCAGTTTCCTAGTCTTTGTACATCGAAGATTATTTCGTGAACTGTATTCTTTATTAAAAGAAAGCTAAAATCTTCGAGTAGTATACTCAATTGTTTTTGTTTTTTTGATGTCAAGTTATTTATAGGATAAATGAAAACATGAAGTATAACCGATAATCAAACTTTATTTAACCATTAATTAAGAATTCCGTGGAACGAGTCAGTCGGTACTTTCACAAAGGAATAAGTAGGCTCAAAAATTTGCCGTATTACCATAAGGGTTTTGTTTCAAAGGGTTTACGGAGATGTGTCGTTAATGACGCGATTAAGATTATCAGATTACAAACATTAAGAGGGTCTAGTCTAATAAATAAATTAAATTTAAGGCATTTAAGCTAATATTATCTAACATCACATTTTAAAGGCACAATAGAAATTCGTTTGTATCATAAGTGCCCACTATATACACTCGTCGTTTTAAGAACTTTAATCTAAGAGATAATGTAAATAAAAATTGAATTTACAATTATACTAGACGCAAAGTCTACTTAATCTAAAGATATGACCGTTACAGAAACACCTTGCGTTCGCGTCGAACATCGACTTTGGCACAGACAGCTGTATGTTTAACCACATAACTACTTATTTACAACATGCAACTATAAAATTCTAATATCCTAACTAGTTAAGGTTTATTTTTAGATAGACTGCGCGCCTGTCGTGTTTTTTCCTGCCACCATTTAAGAGTTTCTTCGAATTGTTCGCGGTCTTCGGGTGTCACTTCTGGAAGATGGATTTCTGGAAGCTCTTTCTTCAGTTCGACGCCATTGTATGGCGGCTCTTCAACAAAGGGTGTCTCCTCTTTGAATTTGTACTGGCCGAGAAGTAAATCGGAGTTGATAGAATCTAGTAAAGGACCTTCATCGTAATTAGGCTGGATTTGTTGGTGAATCACGTCGACGTACTTGACATCGAAATCACTTTCACTTAACTGAACTTCGGACTCACTGCAATAATTTTGTTCAGGAATGACTGTGAACTGCTCAGCGGAGTTCGGGAATTGAAAGTGGCTGTCCAAAAGATGCTGGTTCATTTCGTCTTGGGCGAGGAGATCTGATGACGGCGTCAGGGGCTGTCCATTACCGTCTTCCTCCTCATACAATCGCGGTGTGGATACCAGTTGAAACGCTTCAGATGCCTGCAAGTCGACATACTGTTGGGCTGATATTTTATGCAGCGAACTGTCGAGGTCATCTTCTTCTAAATCCTCATCCTCTAGAGCGGGGGAGTTCAAACAGAAGTAGCTTCGTTCTTGACTATTCTCCCGAGGCGAAGAAGATGCTGGAGAAGGAAACGATTCCATTGATGGATTTGATAAGTTTTCTTTATCCGTGTGTCCAATATTCAGTAGGCTTTCGAGGTTTCGTATATATTCCACGGCCATACGTAATGTTTCCACTTTACTGAGTTTTTTGTTTGGTCCGCGGTTCGAATTGGCGTTTTCGAATGCCGCCGCGACCTCCTCTGGTATATGTCGGCGTAAGGCGGCAAAACCGTCATTGACTTGACGTACTCGATTTCTTTCCCGCGCATTTCGTCGCGCTACGGCGAGCGGCGTAGCACTTCTTGCATCTTCAGACACATTGTTGTTCTCGCGGTATTTTGGACGTTTGGCCAATCCGTTATTGTTCTCTACGGTGTTCACTAATGAAGACACTGACACTGTGTTCGACTGGAGTTTCTGTTTCTTCCTAACAATGACGATTTCACGTCTAACATTGTCGTTGTTTGTTATGTTCACTGAATTGTTCACAGATTCTTGTAGCACTTGCGGCTTGAGCGGCGAATTGCGGAAGACAACGACCCCGATGGAACTCATGTTGGGAAACTATTTTCACATATTATAACTGTTCTTCCTTGTTAGTTCCGGTTGTGGATAGAATTAAAGTACTGTTATTACTGGGTTAGAGTTATTTGTGTGGCGTCAGAGCGCCGTCCGTCGCGGGAATGGCGCGTGCCGTTCGTCCGCACCTGGGGTGGCTCGCGGCTCACGGGGGGATCAATAGGGGTAGGTACTTACGTTTGCTAGTTGCACACATGCTTTTTAAAAGGGCGGCTTGGGGAATCGTTTCGGCTCATATTTTTATTAAATTCTACTTTGACCTAAATGTACGACATTAAAGTTGCGATTTTGAGAATTGAAGCACTTAATTTTAGTTCTTATACATAGTTCGCGTACAATAAACTCGGTGACGCCCTCGGTGACGCCCTTCGTTTGCATAAAAAAATTGTTTTAAATTGAGGTTTTAATTTTACAATCTTGTTTTTGATTTGATTCTTATTTTTCACTAAATGAACTATACAACATACGTGATACTGGGAGATAGATAAGCATATATCAAATGAACCAGTTTTCAATCGTGTTATACAATAATATTTTATACAATCAAAACTGGTTAAGTTGCATGAACCACAACGATTCCCCAAACGGATTTCTCGTATTCGATACTTTTCATGGGGTGTCGCACCCAACTACGACTGTGAAAGTGTGGGTAGCACACACATGTAAACAATCAAATGAATTACACATAATAATATGATTGTGAGTAACAGGGATAAACCGTTCGCGTGTTTCATCGCCGCCTGCGCAGGGTGTGTTTGCAAGCTGTTTTAATTTATAAGATTAAAATTACATACAATAAGTACCTTAACATATTATAATACGTTCGAAAAATTGTTATTAAAATATCTCAAAATACTTATAAAGTAAATACTATATGAAATCAAAGTCTAGAACGGTGACTACTATTTTATAAAACTATAATAAAACCCAGTTTAATTAAAAAATTGTATAAAGCTAATCACAGCGTCTACTAATATGATCCGTTTCCCGCCAAATCATATTTTTTACCATAGATTATTGTCTATGTGTGCCACGTGTCTATTATAGCTGTGTGTGTACGCCTACGCCAGCTGCACTGCTTGTATCGGCACGCGCTAGTTTATTGTTCAGCTTCTATAGAAATGATAGAAGTTAATCACAGATAAAGTTGAGTAACGGATATTTTTTTTAATATAAGGAAATATAAAACCTCCTTATGTATAAACTATATCACTCTTACGTTATTTAACTAATTACACATTTGTCTGTCAGATTCTGTTTACGCGGTAAAAAAGAGTTGTCAATATTAATTTATTTTAAGATATACCATGAAATCGCTAACATATTTGACAACTCAAAATACTTATAAATAATACCGGCTTTTTAAAAGTAATTTTTATTTGTAATAATCGTAGGAAGAAACATCCAATGTAACTTACTAAACGTAGAATTTACATTCTGTAAATATTTTTTCAATTAATAGTAAACAGTTTTATTAAATTAAAATATAAAACCATGAATGTTGTTAGTTGTTATCTTGAAACATATTAAACAGATGTTGAGGGAGCGTTTAGCGTGAATAATTAGCATAGTCCTTAATAAATACATTTGGGGTTTGGTGTTGAGGTCATGTTGTGGTTGCAGATCCATACAAGAATCTAGTTTAAAAATCTAGAAAATAGGGACGGAGTGTTTTTTACCAGTTCTTCCCGTTCATCCTACACCCTCGATTACGTTACCCAATAGACCGTATTCAATGAAGAGCGTTTCGATTCCTCGACGACCAGTCACTTTCCGAGCGGCTTGATCCCTTGCCGAACATCTGCATCTTCTACCGCATTTACCATGAAGAGGTATCAGAGTTGTTCGGATTAATGCCTGCAGCTGAGTTTCATAACCGGACGTCAAGGCAGAATATTTAATATCCATTACACCTCAACGTCCAACGTTCCATAACTAAACGTTTTCAAGACAGATTTTGTCGCGTACCGCCACTATGTGGAACCATCTGCCGACTAAAGGTGTTTATTCGACTTAAGGTGCTTCAATAAAAGATAATTCTAAATCTTAAAAGGCCGATAATGAGGCCATTAGATGAGCCTCCTGCCCGTTTGCTATTAAAAAAACAGAAAAATAATTTTATTTATTTTTAACGTTCATATCTTTAAATATTTGTTAAATATTTTCACTTTGATAATTTTTAAATATTATGGCAAATGTTAAGGACAATTGAAAGGCAATATAATTAGTATCACCTACTTTACACGTAGATATCATTTTCATACCTTCACATTATACAAAAGTCTATAGACATATTCTAAAGCGCCTGCATTTTTTCTGCAGCAAAATGAATGATAGAAAACTTAAAGACGAAAATCTGAGGAGGCTTTCAATATGTGTATACAACTATGTCCCATAACACTACTATGTGGCATTAGACAGATATTTCTGCGTACCACACGTGATCTTCTGGTGTCATAGCGATTTCGTATGTTTTAATACTTTGTTTAATACTTTTGGTTACACCCGGGGTTTGCACTCATGACAAACTTAATCATGAGGCTAAAACTTATATATTAGTGTCCATTTACTAATGTGATAAACTTCCTAACAAAAATATCCTTAAAATTTAAGTAGCTTTAAATGTACAAATTTTGAAACCAAATTTTAAGAAATCGCTTTTAGCATCCAAATTTAATCCCTCCAAAAGACAAAAATAACAGCAATGAGTTAAGTCTTCCTAATGCAGCAAAATGCATCCTGTAACTCAAGATGAGTTTTTTCGCCGACAATCCGATCAGTAAGGTGAGTGCCGCCATCTTGCGAACATGTGGGAGACGCACCCCATGACCTAATGAGAGCTATATTTAGTTCACCATATGTTAATAGGGTTCTTAGAGGTGTAGCAGATTTTAAAGTCACTGTCAAAACATTCGAACCCTTTCTAGACTATTGCAAGTTCTCATCGAATCTCAGTTTAATAAATTACTAGCTGAACCGGCAAACGTTTGTTTGGTTCAATAAAAATAACTACATACATATCTACAATAATAAAAATAGTGGTTGATCGTAGATCGCCGTTTCGGAGGAGTATACGAACATTGTGACACGAGAATTTTATATATAGAGATAATTTGTACTCACCTAAAACATAAGATTATATCCATTATTACGTGCACAGTCGACGTGTGCTTAATTCTCGGGTAGTAACTGCGGTGATTTCAATAGAAGTGCTTATAAAACTATGCACTGCCTGTGTTCAAATATACTATGTATTTATACCGTAGTAACTATGATGAAACAAAAATTTTTTCTTAATAAAGTGAGGATTTATAATCCTTATATATATATATATATATATATATATATATATATCCTAATAGGTTTTTATGGAGCGTAAGATAAAAGTAACAGTTTGTCATTGTTTAATATTTTATTTTATTTTAAAAGGCACACTAACGAAACACATACAAACACTTACAGAGAACACATAACATAGAAAACAAGATACATGCATGTGCATCAATAATAAGTGTGCACAACATTTAAAGGGAAACATTACAATGATGAAGAGAAAATAACTTTAACATTAAAAGTAAAAAACAAACTGGATTAAAAAAAATACAAACATGCAATTTACAAATATATATAAAAAAAACAATAATTTTCAACTTTGTAATTATCACTATTGGTCACGGATCAACAGTGTCTGCAGCATCTTACGCCTGAAGACATGGAGACTGTCACTAAATGGATCTGCTTGGCATGTATTTTACTAAAAGGTACTTAGTTCTAATGTAATTTCGTCGCTGTAGAATGATAACCTCGTATGTCCAAAGAACAAAAAAAAAAAAACGAAAAAAAAAACACAGGAAACGAAAAAAATGTTTCATTTCGTCAATGTTCGTTAAAATATTATTATGTGTTTTTGTCCATAGTTTTGAATGGTAAAAATGACCTATTTATTAATAACATTATACCAGTAAAATGACATAAGAATACAAAATAATTGGTTTTTGACATACGAGGTTGTCATTCTACTGTGACGATTTATGATAACGAATAAAACTCCTTTGATGTCAGAGTTCTTATACATTTGCTAACGCAATAGAACTAAACAAAGGAGTCTGCTAACCTGTGCATTTTCATTCACCCAGTTCCAGCTGTGTTTTGAATAGATTCCGCCGGCGATTACCTTCAACTATAACCTATCTCAATACAGGTTGCCTTGAATTTGAGATTTGAACCCCATCCAGACGCATTGTACCTTATAAGAATGCAAATAAAAGGGAGCAACTTGTAAATTAGAGCTAAGGTCATCTAATAAAGGGGTTGCATCTAGACTAGAGTGCGCGCTATTTCGTCATGGGGGAATAATTCTAAAGGGCATCCGGTGAATATTGTGCTAATTGTCAATTCATTTTAGGCATTTCAAAGTTGTATAATGTTCGGCGATATAACAAAAAATTTAATTAATAAAAATTTTAATTAAACTGAAAAAATAAAATCATTTGAAATATTGTTCCGATAAATGTGTATAAAAAGATCTTGGCAAAGAAAAAATGCTTTGAACGCATGTTTATAATCATAACTTTATTTATTGCCAAAAACAGCTTATATAACGTATTCCAGGCTACTGATGTAGTGAGAATTGTATCAGGAACCTGTGGCAATACTTTGTGGCATTATTAAAAATAGTTTTTGATTGCATGCAAATAATTAATTACAATTAAATAAATAATCAAAGACTGGAAAAGGAGTCATTATAGTCAATAAAGTTCAGTTTACATTTGAAAAATTAAATAAATAAATATTTATTATTATTCTCTTACATTAAGTGAAACATAAATTCTATTATTATTCGAATGTTGTTTTTAAATTATGTCCAATGCCGTACCATCTTCCGTGGGCAACTTCATTCTGTTAATTTTGTGTAACGATGCACGCGCGCGTCGTAAAATTTCACTCTCATCAGTTTTTCATAACGCACCTAAAGA